ATCTGCCACAAACCGCCAGTTTCAATTGTGACAAACAGCTTATCAGTTAGTTGAGCAGTGATATTTTAATATCTCTGCGCTGTTTCTTTTTTTTTCAACATTTTTATATTTTCCTTTTATTTGTTTTAATTAACCATTGTCAAGAAAGGGAGGGGCAGTATTCGATGGAAAATATGATTTAAGAATATGTCAGATATGCGTATTTAATGAGATTATTTTACAGGACTACAGGATGACGAGAGATTCATAAAGCGGGATAAAACAGTTAGAACGACATGGGTACAGTCCCGATCCCGGTCAATCACTCAAATTTGCCGGGATTTTGACCGGGATCTATTACATAATTTCATTCACTGTGATTTTAAGTTTTTGTGAATTTCATCTTTAAACAACCTCTGAGCCAAATAAAACAATGTTTAAAATTGCTAAACAAGTTTAGGTAACTAATATCGTTACATAACTCATAAGTGCAAACTAACATCAAGTTTTCAACTCGGGCTACGTCCAATTGTCAATTGGAATTGGAGAATGAAACTGTTGAATAATTTGAGGGATCATTGATTGAGGAGTGAGGAATGAGGGTGAACTTGAGTAATCAGTACATGAACATTATTGGTGTAGTACATTAGGCCCATGCCCCATATTGACGGTTTTTTTATAGTTTTTTCTAATTTAATATTGTAGTTATTACTTATTCAAATTGTTCAATTATAATGTAAATGAAAGTTGCAGCTTTCAATATGAGAATACCAGTTTTGGTCCCGGTCATCCCGGTCATCCTGGTCAAATCCCGGTCATCCCGGTCAAATCTCGGTCATCCCGGTCATCCCGGTCATCCCAGTCAAATTGGATTGTTGGTCCCGGTCCCGGTCCCGGTAAGATAGAAATCCCAGAAATTATTGGTCCCGGTCCCGGTCCCGGTCACGGTAAATTGATAATCTCAGTCCCGGTCCCGGTCCCGGTCCCGGTCAGGCCTAAAATCATGTCCCGGTCACCTCCTGTTAAAATTAGATATAGCGTTTTACACTTTCTGTTCTTCCTCCTTACTTCCTAGACTTAGAACTTTCTTAATGTACGAATAAGAAAATAAGAATTTTTACTACTATCAGACTATATTTGTATCTTTAATACATCATCTACTTATTCACTAGCTTGCTAAAATTCATCGGCACATTACCGCTGCTCGAGTTACCTAGCAAAGCCCATGTCAGTTTTGTTTATGATATATTTATCATGAAAAATGATTTTGCTCAGAGTGATCTGTGCAAAAAAATTAACATTGACTGTACGGGGTATCGAACCTGCGATCATCCCGCAAGGCTGGCAAGACAAGCGCTCTACGCTGCACGCCACTCCTGTGTTACACAAGACTAAATTTTGATGACTATATTTTTGCAAGACATGAACCGTGCTTATATGGCAGAAATTAGTACCGCATACAATCCTCAATTTCGGGTTTGTCATGATTGTAATTGGGAAGTGGGAACAACTCTTCTGCATTTGATTAGAACTGTCTGTACAGTGTACAAATACAATTGGGTAAATACAAAGGTTGTGTACAATACTGTGCTGATATGGAAAACTCCCGACTATATGTTGCTACAATTCATTCGGGGGCGTGGATGAGATTTGTAATTTAGCTATTTAGGCATTTGCTTTTGACTGATTTATCTTCCGGACAGTTCTTGGAACATTGGAAGTTCAATAAAAATCAGTGCAGTAGAGGAGTAAACTTGCACGAGAGTTAAAATGGTACTATTATAATCTGTGTTGTCAGGTAAGATTTCAGTTTTCACTTTTTAGTGGGGAGTTTTAAAGATTTCAATATGAATACTTAATTTCGTAACGCCAAATCGCATCTTTAAGAGTTAAGCTTAACTCAAAAAGATGCGTTTTAGCGAGGCGTTGTGAAATTTTCAAAATATTTCTAAAACCGCATCTTTTGGCGTTAAGCTTAACTTCAAAAGATGCGATTTAGCGACGCGTTACAAAATTTTCAAAATATTTCTTAAACCGCATCTTTTCGAGTTAACGACACGAATTACGATTCTAGCTTTCGGTCTAAAGCGCATCTTTTGGCGTTAAGACTAACTCCAAAAGATGCGAGTAAAGAATCGAGAGATGCACGTTCACGACTCGGGTTTTTTAAGAAATTTCAGCGTAGAAATGCATCTTTTGAGCTTAAGCAGGCATCTTTTTTGCGCCAAAGCGCAATGTCCAGGGTGTCACGGGGCCTTAAGCAGTAGCCGGCGCTTGACGCTCATTAGCGCAAGCAGAAGGAAGTGTAACTGTAAATTAGCATTACTTGCGCTAGTTAGCGCTTACGGTAACGGCACTACTGTGCTTCATTTAACTATGAGTATGGCTGCAATAATAATTTACTTGCTTATTGCTATTTACTTTCTACTGCCACAACTTACTTACTATACTGTTACGTTGAGCTAGCTAACGCTAATGATAGCACTAACTAGCACCTTCTAATTTACTGACAAAAGCGCTCACTAACGCCGGTTCGGGTTAGCTAACGATAAATATCGCAAAATCCCATGTTCAATGTTGACAGTTTGCTGTTTGTGGTACTGGTAGCTACCGCTAACTATATGGATAATAGAAAAGCGCACCCATCTAAAACTAGCGCTAACTAATTTCATTTAGCGCAAACATACTCTACCATAACCAAGGCGAGGGAAATTTAGTATCGAGAATTGAGGTACAAAGCTCCATTCTTTCTTATTGCTTTATTGCAGAGCTTGGTCTTATTTTAGCCATGAGGCTGTGAGGTTTGAAAAATAAAATTACTTTTTCCTGGTATCTTAGAAAATAAATGTTGTGAATATGCCACAGGCTAAATCAACGGCAACAATTTCGTCCTATTATTTTATAATCGGCTCATTTCGTCACAGTTTGAAATTTAGAAATATGCAGCAATAATGGATCGTGCACACGATATTTATAACTGCGTTAATTTTGACTGATAACTTGATAAGAAACAAAACAACATTTTATGCTACAAAAACAAGCGATCATAATTTCAAAGAATCTCATTGATAAAATAAATAATAAACTAATAAACATATTTCGCAACCCTGGTTGTGTCAATACATGGATTTATTTGCCGAATTTTTGTAATAATTGTAGCCCATTTCTGTCAGTTTTTGCAAAGAAAACTTGATTGTTAAACATGGATAAATTCAAAAGACCCTAATTCGCGGGTTGAAGATTTTAAACAGATTGCACAACCAGGATTGTGATTCATTAGCAAGTTTCATAAAACAAGAGGAGATGCACATTCTGCACCATGTGATGTTTATGGTAAATCCTCTCACCACACAGTTCACACATGCTATAAACAGCTGAAACCTTTTTGCTGTTTTTTATAGTCTTTCCCTTACAGTTCGAGAGGCAGTCACGACACTGCTTCTTGCTTTCAACTTTCTTGGGGAAACTAATCATGCTGTTTGGGACTTCAGCTGTCCTCCGAAATTTAGGATTCCCCGTTATGTTGAATGCTGCTGTCAGGACATGTGCTCTAACAGTCCAATGATGGGCTTTTCTATTAGCCAAGGCTTCATGAGAGATAGCCCTTATTCCAATCCAAAGTCAGAGGAGGAATTTTTCCACCTGAATGAGTCCACTCTGATGGATTGCTTAGTTGGACGACAGTGTGGATGTTCACCCTTGTGGTGTCCAGAATGTAATACCACACGCAGTGTTTCCACTTGTTGGATTTCACCTTGGTACTGTATCGACTGAAACAAGAACATTTGTTCATTTTGTGAAATATTTCTAAAATGTTCAGATATTATTATTATTAGTACTACTCGAGTAATAATACACATAATACATATAGTACTTTTTTAATAGGAATTTTAGTGACAATTAAACTATATAATTAATATATAACCCTATCCTCTGATCCATCAAATCAGTTCCGTACTTAGTGAGGTCGTACAGCTTTCCGATCTGCGGCTTCTCTTTGTTATCGTCTTCTGTTACTCCTTTAAAATTAAATAGCACTGGTTTAATAACTATATTCTTGATGTTCACACGTACGTAATGAGAAAAGTTTGTCAAAGTATCAGCTTTGAACGTAATTGAATAGATTGCAACACACAAAATAAATGGATTATTTTTACTGTCGATTTGAACTTAGCTGTAGCTGTACTATTTCAATAGAATACCAACTTCCTTGTCCATAAAGGAGAATATAAGTGCTGAGCTGCAACTCTGAAACAAAAAATGTATTTCAAATTGATTGCACAATACTACGAAGTGGGGATTCGCAATTTTGCAAAAAACGACATCAAACTATCAAATGAGAGCATCTGCCGAAATTATGCAAATCACACTGAAGAACAATGAAGAAGAGTGGCCGATATCACAATCACAGTAGCCGGGTTTCTTTATAGGAAGACAAATACAGGAGCAAAGCATAAATCATCGATGACAAATTACCGAATATTTTGATCCGGTTTCGTGATTCGTTAATATCAGTCACAAGAGATAATCGTGCGCTCTCATTGGTTTTTATACTAGCGAGCATTAGCTCAAAGGTGCAACTCAATAATTGAGTTATTTGAAGCTCCTCCGATTGGATTGCAATGCGCTTTGTGACATGACATGTGATCCGCTGTCCACGTGGTGTTTACTTACCAATCAGATCACTTTAAAGTAACATATACCTAGTCGTCCAACTGGACGGTTCTCCGCTAGACATATTTAATGCAATTTTTGGCCTTTTTTTAACTAATAATTAACCATAACTATGTTAAATAGTAATTTTTGTAAAAAACAGATAGTTTAGGCGATAGGTAGTGTTCTTGCCGATAGATAGCTGGCGTATCACCGGTATTGCTACTACATGTGGAACACAAATGGTAAAACATTGGAGGGGCACTCCACATGGAGTGCTCTTCGCTGTTTAAGGGTTAATCATCAAAACAAATTTATTTTATTGTTAATTAAGAGTCTTCATTTTAAGTGATATGCTATCATGTTTTGTTGTAACAGTTTCTTTACAGATTATGTCTCAAAGTAGTGAGTTGGAAGATGGTGAATTTCCCGAATCTCAAGAACTTAGTCCCATTATCAAATATGAAGACAAAAACAACCACAATCACAAGCTGTACACACGCGGAGTTGGAGCATTACTAGATGGTATGTTTCAAGATCCAAAATCCAAAGCCAAATCATTAAGTCCTGAGACTCCTAAGTTGCCTGCAAAAGAAATAGATACATTGCCTATCACTAAAACTCCAGTTATGTCTGAGAGGTTTGAAATAATTATGAAGTTAACACAACTATTTTTCTGATACTTAAATTATCTGTTCTTACTGGCTGTTTGTTTAATTTTATTTTCTGTGAAGAATGAATATTCAAATTAGTTAGACCAAAGAACACTTTGATAAAGAACATTATTCGTTGTGAAAAACCCCTTTTTTCAGTTTCAGTCCTATTAAAATGAAATTTGAACAGAGATCAGACATCAAACCAAGAGTTGTTTCAATTGAGAAGCAGTTGGAATCAATAAGAAGCGTGTACCCAGAATCATCAAGAGCTGGGAGTGACTCATTAGATGACGAGAACACTGAAGGTGCGCTCCCAGAATTCAGATTTACCGAATAAATTTCCAGAATAAGATTGTATCGGGCTGCTATAATAGTTATAATTTGGCAATCTGAATCATAATTTTGCAGACGAAATGGAGATAGAAGAAGAAAATGTGATTGAAGTTAAAAAAGATATGGCAATTCTGGCTGTAAGAAGTATAAAGTCATTAGACTGTCCTCTGTGTACTGAGCGGTTCCAACACCCTCGAATACTTCCTTGTATGCACACCTTTTGCAGCTCGTGTATTCAGAAAAGAGTGAGTAGTTTTGATTCCCTTCCGTCTTAATAACTAAGTCATGTTTAACTAGGAAATTAATCAGTATCTTTCAATGTTTCAGATTATAGTACTGTTGTAACTATTAAACATTTTTGAAACTCTTATTTAATTCCATTAAATAAGGGAATCCAATTAACATTTACAGGATATTTGTCTTCATTAGAAATTCAGTTCAGATAAATTGTGACTTGATCAAATTGAATATTGCAGATCAGTGAAGAAAACGCAGTGAGTTGCCCAATCTGCCTTCGTAATGTCAAACTAAACTTGCCAACAGTTGACTTGTTGCCAATAAACGCTATTCTGGATAAGCATGTGAAACTTGTAGAGGCAGGTGAGGAAACAACTCAGGAAAAAGAGGTCAAAACGTGTAGTACTTGTGAGGAATTTTCTCTCTATTGGTAATTAAATTTAAAATGTCAAACATCATCAAATATATGCTATAAATTAATAATGAATGTTATTAAAATGTTTGATGCTGAAACTTTAACTTAAAACAGCACTCAATTGAAGGCACCTGAAAAATGTTTGTACATTGCTTATCAAATCTGTGAAAACTAAATTAACTGAAATTCCTTCAGGTGTTTGGAATGTGAAACAGATTTCTGTGAAAAGTGTAAAAAAGTGCACCTCAACATAAAAGCAGTCAGCAACCACCAGCTCCTGACCCACAAGGAACTAAAAGAGAATATTGCTGTCACTTATGTCAAATCAGAGAACTGTGTACACCACAAGGAACATGAACTAAACTTGTACTGTGAACCGTGTGATGCTATGATCTGTCGGGATTGCACACTCATTAACCATAAGAATCACAATTATGGGTTTGTTAAAGAGTTTACTTCAGCCAAGAGGAGAAAACTTCAAGAGGAGGTTAGTTAATAAAACAATTTAAATTTAATTAAGAAATTATTTATTTTTCAGTTCTCTGTATTCTACAGTTAATTAAGTGAAATTCCAAACAGAGCATTCAAAAATCAACAAAAACTAAATCACAATTTATGATGATTATTTGATTTAAAAGGTGTGAAGATTAATTCAAGACTTTTCTGCTTGTAGGTCGAGAGGGCAAGAGCCAAGATAGAGCCATTAAAGCGCCTGATAGATGCAGTTGAAGAAGACACCAAAGAGTCAGAGCATGATGAGAAAGTCAAACAAGAAATTAAAGAGGCTACTGAAAGTTTGATCGCTCAGGTATTATGTGGAAGTGTTTAAATTTAATGTAATGGAAATCTCTGTTCATCCTAAAAACTCTTTAATGTAAACCTTAATAATGCCTGTCTTCTAAAATCGTTTTCTTATCAGATGAAAGCACAAGAAAAAACATTGCTAGAAGAAATATCAACGAAGGCTAAGTCACGCTCAGATCGACTACGAGGAAAATATAAAGAACTAAGATACGCTGTGGACAGCTCCCAGTGCAGCCTCGACTTCATGAGTGCTCTCTTCTACCAAGGAAACATGAAAGACCTTGTAGGACTGGCACCCTTGGTGCGTACACGGATAGCTGAGATAACAGCTTATCGGCCTGAAGTTGAGTTGAACAGGAGGATTCCTAAGTTCAAGTTGTGTCCGATAAGCAAGATGCCATCGCTCGGAAGAGTTTATGGTTCCTTCAATTACTGCAGTATTGGAGAAAATCCTCATTTGCTCGGCACTGAGGGACAGGGTAAGATATTTTACCTCATCTGATATTGTGCGTTCTAGTTCGACTTAAGACCACTTAATCTATATTAACTTAATATCATGCCCAAGCGCAAGCCTACATGACAATATTCATCTTTGGCCTTGTTAGCATAATATGTTAGCAAATCCTCCTATAATCCTCTTATCCTCTAAACTTTATTCCTGCACTTTCCAGAGGCTGGAGATTTCAAGTTTCCGACGGGGGTTACATTCCACCCTCTTGGGTATGTAGTTGTTGTAGACAGGGCAAATTCTCTTCAGATATTCGAGAAAACTGGATCCTTCCTTGAGGAGATCACTACGGTAAGTTATAAGGAACCAAATAGATTTTGAGAATGTTTAGCAAATTGATGAAGTTTTAATTTCACATCCTAACTTCGTAAAATTAAAAAGATTGTGCATATCTCATCAGATAAGAGAGTTTCAATGATTTCAATGAAACATGGGAGTCTATAATTTTGTTTTTTATTGATCATGAATTTGCATTCCACCAACAGATGAACACTAATCTTCTTGGACAACTAAAGAACCCTAATGGGGTAGCTGTCGACAAGGCTGGATATTTCTACGTAGCTGATAGTTCTAAACACAGAATAGCTGTTTACAGCCCCAGTAAGTCTAAATTTATTTTACAGCCCCAGTTAGTCGACGTTTATTTTACAGCCCTAGTAAGTTGACATTTATTTTACAGCCCTAGTAAGTCGACGTTTATTTTGCAAATCTACCTCCATCACAAGTTAAAGCTTCTTAAATTACACGATTATTTTACCTACAAGCTCTAGCTCTGTGCGTGGGAGTTTTTTGTTAAAACAAAATATCCTCAGAGGGTAAATTTACACATGAAATAGGAGCGAGAGGTAAAACACAGCCTCACTCACCCGTGATAGGACACTCCGTGGAGAGGTCTTCTTCTCTGGAGGGTAGTCCTGTTGATACAGCTCACCGCAAACCTTACCGGGTACGTATTTCTCATTGATCCAACTTTTAAAAAACACCTAAATTAGAATCATTCAATAATGACATGGAATGTTTGCCTTAAAAAGGCTAAAATCGACTTCCTGTCTTGCATTTAATTTTGATCTGGTACAATTCTATAATCAATTTACTCTTCACAGTCCGATGAACACAGATCACCAGCGGGATACTACGACTACAAATCAGCTGGGCTCAGTGTTTCCACCAGAGATCACATCAGGTCCTCACGTGACTACAGGGATTCCTGGGATTACAGGGACTACAGGGATTCCAGAGATTATCGTAAGTTTTCAATCTCAATTATCGTAAGTTTTTAATCTCAATTATCGTACAACATCGAGATTGGAACGCAATTAATACCCCAAATAATCACATTTTCACATTCACAGGTGATAATCACCATCACAGAGATTCTAAAAGGAAAGGCTACGACTCTTACATTCGTAGAGATAGTAGAGACTCTTTAGAGACTAAGTCTGATGTGACTAAGCGTGAAACAAGTGATCCATACCTCCCCAAGAAAATGTTAGCCATTTTCCTTCCTACTCTAATAATCCACCATTATAAAGTTTCAATGATTGATTTAATTTAAAATTTATTTCTAAATGATGATGAGTGATGACACTGTAGATGATCTTCAGTTTTTAAGATGTTGAGTATTTAAGTTGAGTTTTACACACCTCCCCAGAAAGTTGAACCCAGCTGATGTAGAGTTGAGTATTTAAGTTGAGTTTTACACACCTCCCCAGAAAGTTGAACCCAGCTGATGTAGAGTTGAGTATTTAAGTTGAGTTTTACACACCTCCCCAGAAAGCTGAACCCAGCTGATGTAGAGTTGAGTATTTAAGTTGAGTTTTACACACCTCCCCAGAAAGTTGAACCCAGCTGATGTAGAGTTGAGTATTTAAGTTGAGTTTTACACACCTCCCCAGAAAGTTGAACCCAGCTGATGTAGAGTTGAGTATTTAAGTTGAGTTTTACACACCTCCCCAGAAAGTTGAACCCAGCTGATGTAGAGTTGAGTATTTAAGTTGAGTTTTACACACCTCCCCAGAAAGTTGAACCCAGCTGATGTAGAGTTGAGTATTTAAGTTGAGTTTTACACACCTCCCCAGAAAGTTGAACCCAGCTGATGTAGAGTTGAGTATTTAAGTTGAGTTTTACACACCTCCCCAGAAAGTTGAACCCAGCTGATGTAGAGTTGAGTATTTAAGTTGAGTTTTACACACCTCCCCAGAAAGTTGAACCCAGCTGATGTAGAGTTGAGTATTTAAGTTGAGTTTTACACACCTCCCCAGAAAGTTGAACCCAGCTGATGTAGAGTTGAGTATTTAAGTTGAGTTTTACACACCTCCCCAGAAAGTTGAACCCAGCTGATGTAGAGTTGAGTATTTAAGTTGAGTTTTACACACCTCCCCAGAAAGTTGAACCCAGCTGATGTAGAGTTGAGTATTTAAGTTGAGTTTTACACACCTCCCCAGAAAGTTGAACCCAGCTGATGTAGAGTTGAGTATTTAAGTTGAGTTTTACACACCTCCCCAGAAAGTTGAACCCAGCTGATGTAGAGTTGAGTATTTAAGTTGAGTTTTACACACCTCCCCAGAAAGTTGAACCCAGCTGATGTAGAGTTGAGTATTTAAGTTGAGTTTTACACACCTCCCCAGAAAGCTGAACCCAGCTGATGTAGAGTTGAGTATTTAAGTTGAGTTTTACACACCTCCCCAGAAAGTTGAACCCAGCTGATGTAGAGTTGAGTATTTAAGTTGAGTTTTACACACCTCCCCAGAAAGCTGAACCCAGCTGATGTAGAGTTGAGTATTTAAGTTGAGTTTTACACACCTCCCCAGAAAGCTGAACCCAGCTGATGTAGAGTTGAGTATTTAAGTTGAGTTTTACACACCTCCCCAGAAAGCTGAACCCAGCTGATGTAGAGTTGAGTATTTAATGTTGAGTTTTACGCACCTCCCCAGAAAGCTGAACCCAGCTGATGTAGAGTTGAAGGGCCCACGTGGGGTTGAGATAAGCAGGACCGGGCTGGTGGTGGTTGCTGATACCACTAATCATTGTGTGAGTTTAACTGTCTAATTAGTTAATTACACTGTAATTAGCTAATCAATTAGTTAATTACACTGCATGTCTGTGTCTTGATTTTATCAGCTTTAATTCCTCTTCTGCTATCCCATCTCCACCAGCTCTCTTTTTGAATTACTGTAAGCGATTTCGCGCATATAATGTTGAACATTTTACGCTGGGCAGGTATGTATTTGTGCAATTCTGAATAGAATTAATTACACTGTAGATATGTCCTTGCATTCCTAGAGTGAAAATGAAACTCATAGAAACGTCATGGTACGAGTGATACATTTATCGCGTTTATTATTGCTCATCGTACTGTATTTGATTATGCGTCCAGTTATTTTGTGATATCAATCAGTATTTTGTCGATCGAACGTTGTAACAGTTTAATTTGATACATGCGTTTTAGTCGTTAATGCTAATTTCATACCTTTTCTTGATACGATTTTGTTTGAAGTTGCCAATGCACATTGCACAGGTTGTGTTACGAATATGGTTTCTTTGTTTCGTGTTTTGTTTCTAGATTTTAATAATTCACTTTTCAGTAGACAGCATCGTTTATTTGGTGTTTTGCAAATAACAAATTGTTCGTCCATCAAATTAAACAGCTATTTGAACTAATGATCCGGGAAGAGAATTAAGAATTATGTTATTGTGTTGTTCATGATATTTCCTAAATTATTGAATGCTGAATTGCTTATATCTATCTAAAAGCTCTTTAGTCTTTATAATTTCTAAGAATGAATCGCTCTTCTCTCTTTTGACATTGCATCTGATTTGCATGCACTCTGTGTTGGTTTCTCCTAAATTAATCAATCAATTAACTTAATCCATTTATTAACCAATTTCCAGTTAAGCCCCTTATTTCACGTTTCTCAAAATAAGCTAGCTCCACCACTTTTACTCAGTACATTAAAGTTAAAATAATTTCCTAATTTTCTAAATTAAACTTCACACCCACCTGACTAACCTCAACCTCTTCAGCTACATTTTCAGACCTGGCTCACGCAAGGAATGTGTAGTTACCTGCAAGGAATGTGTAGTTACCTGTGTAGTTACCTGAAAGGAATGTGTAGTTACCAGCGACTGTTAAAGACGGTGATTTGAAGAAAATAAAGGTGGTCAGATCAAAGCACAGTTTATATGTTTGAAGATTTTCACGTGATTGTGATCATTTAATTAGGTACCGCTGCAACCCCGCACCCGCTTTGATTGAGCGTCTGTAGCTTGTTCTGATCATTTGATAACCATTCCGTGATTTGTTTGCTTGAGCTTTTGTCACTAGTTGCTTTGTCATTTGAGTAGAACTAGTATTGCATTTTATATCAGATGTTAGCTTGAAGCACTACAAGCTCAGTTCAATTTGCTTAGTTTGAACGTTGCCTAACGTTGCCTAACGTTGCCTAACGTTGCCTAATGTTGTCTAATACTACCACCGTGCTGTCTACTAATATTCCCCCTATTGGTTACTGGAACTAGCCAGTTTGTGCGTTTGTCTAGTCTGCTGTCTATTCTTATCATAATGACAATGTGAATAACACAGGGTGACACTGTGTCAGCGCGTGTCTACAGCCTTGTTTCTGTCATATTAACCTTTACTCTTTTCATCTTGTTGTTATTACTTGAAGCCGAAATTAGCATAATATTCCCATACATATTTGGGTTCAGTATTACCAGTATCCCGGGGAACTATTACCAGAGATTATGACACGATGATAATACTAGTGGGGAGGTGGGGCAAGGTAATGGTGACTCATGGGGCATGACAGTGATTCTGGAATTTAATAATTTGAATACTGTAAGCTTGCAAGCTAATTAATTTATCGCTGTCAGAGGCACTTGCACCACCGCCCCACAGTTACTATTCTATAAAAATAAAAGGATGAGATCTTCCATAACTTTGATCTCTACGTTTTTGTTTTCAGAAAAGCCCTAATTAATGTCTCGTGTTGATTGATATAATGTTTCAACGTTTTGTTACCATTGTTCTAGTATTACACTAACTGGTTGTCACACAAACCCTCGCAGGTGAAGGTTTTCACACGAGAAGGTGTTTATTTGAGAACTATTGGCGAAGAAGGTGCTCTTCCAGGACAGGTAGCTAATTAGCTAATTAGTTTCCTCTTTTAAATGTAACCTAATTAGGGCTTATCATAGATTGCTAATTAATGAACAGCATAACTTCACCCGAAAGAATTCTTAAATATTAATCCCACCTAATAAGACGTGTTCTCCCCCGTTTTGAGCCCCCTTAAAGTCATGCTCTGGCTCGGCTAATAACATATTTCCAACTCTATTTATAAAGTTGATTCTGGAGAAGAATGTTTGTACATGCTTTTAGATTAGTAGTTTGGGTATTTTGTTTGGGTATTTTGAATTGGTGTCTTTTGTCTTTTGTTTGACGCACAAATCTTACTACTGCACTCGTGTATTGTTTTGAAGAGGATTGCGTTTTGATCTTAATCTGATAGTTTGGCAATTCGCCGAGAATGTATCTGTTGCACTGAGAATGTAATAATCGCACCTGGAATGTAATAATCGCACTAACAATGTAATAATCGCACTAAAAATGTAATAATCGCACTATCCGATAGTTGCGGACACCGAGCGGAGTATCGTTAGACTCCCTAGATAACGTGTACGTGACCGATACGGAACTGCACCGTATCACTGCTTACAAGATAACCGGGACAATACATCACTCACTTCGGCAAAAAAGGTTCGTTCGGCGCGGGGGTAAGGGTGGCTTTAAGTTCATTTTTCTTTCAGGTGAACCTTAAAATTTGAAGTTAGACAGAAAATAGTCGGCCCCCATTTTGTGTTTTGATTAATTGCTTCTGCTTCTTCTAGCTCTTTCGCTAATTTTCATACTCCTTCATAAGTTATTACAGCTATCTTTACTTGTGGTAAAAGGGCCCGTCCAATAAGATGCTCTTTCGTTTTTTTTGTTGAATCCGGGCGAGAGGACCGCCCAATTTTTTCGTCGCACAATATTTGGGAACTAAGGCATTCTTAATCTTCTATCGGTAATTCATTGTCAGGTTCTGGTGATGGAGAGTTCCTGTTCCCTTCAGATCTAGCTGTGGATATTTGTGACAATGTGTTTGTCTGTGACTGTGATAATAACCGTATACAGGTATGCAATTATGAAACTTACTTATCTTATTTCCTTGTGAATCTAATTTAAAAATATTTTTCGTGTTGTTGCCGTACACGGCCCCCGATCAATTAAAATGTTGAAGTAACCTGTTTGAATTGAATAATGAGATAGTGAATCGTGTAAATAGTGTTATGTCGCTTACTAACGACTCAGATTTATACCATCCTACGCTATCAAGGATGAATTTATGTAACACTAAATTTACAAAATTTTTCAAATTTTACTTCAGGTGTTTGATAGTGTTTTACTTCAGGTGTTTGATAGTAAGGGAACCTTCATCCGATCTATTACCCTAGAACGAGCAGCCACCACCCTTAGGAAGCCCCTGGCTGTGGCTGTCGACAAAGATGGCAATGTGGCCGTATGTGATACTGGCAACCACAAAGTGTGGTTACTGTAGTGTGGTTACTGTAGAAGTGTGGTTACTGTATGGTTACTGCAAATATGTGGTTACTGTGTAGAACACATATTTGTTCTCATGATAAACGTTTTGGTATAAATAACCACGTATAATGAAGTGTTACTTGTTGAATTATTACTCTGGCTAGACCAGTACAGAGAGTTGTTGATCTCTTCTGTGTATATTTTGAATTGTTAGCAGATTTTCAGTTGTTTTTTCAATTTGTTAATCTTATTTTTGTAACCCAAGGCCAAGGTTTGAGGCAGAATTTCGGGCAGTATCCAAATAGCCCGCCCCTTTCCGCCGGCAGGTGTCCACGGACAGCTTGTCCGTGGGCAGGGGCGGGTTACTTCGATACTGCCGAGTTTTGTTTAAGATAGATTTTATTTTATCGATATTTATAATAGACTGCAGGTTTGAAACCTTATAATCAGTGATAAATATTTCTCAAAACTATTCCAAATGTGGTGTCCCCAAACGGAAATTTATCAAACAATTTTTTATCGTATTTTTTACTCTGCATTATTAAAGTATAAATCACAATCGTTTTTAACCATTTTTTTTGTAGCGTGTAATTTAAACGTGTATTATTTAACAATTCACTACATCAAATTATTATGTTATTATGTTAAAGAATACGCTTAATTTGAAATACGATTTTATATTCAGAATAGCAGCAACTAGCAAGTCCGTTACTTATCGGAATATATTTTGGATAAGTTACCTAATATGTTATTTCTGAGAAAACACCTAAGCTGCATGCTAACTTTATTCTTGTTTAGCATTGTAGAAAACAGTCAAGATAGTTTTCTAAATGACTGCTTTAAAAAAAGTCTGAAGGTTTCTAAGATTTATCTTAGCACTATCCCACAAGTTATCAATTATTTAATAATCAATTATATTCCAGTTCATATTATTCTATTCGCCAACAAATTTAAATTATTGTCACCATTATTAACAATAAATTATTATCGTTATCGACGCTGTTTTATAACAACGAGTTTATAATATTTTAATAATACTGCACTGTACAGTGTACACCTTGCAGTATAATATACCGTTATTCAATTCGTTCCTTAGTTTTTATTCGACTCTTAAGTATTTTCCCAATCGTCCAAACCTGTTGAGTGCCTTTCAATGTCAAAGTATCATCAAATTTACATCTGTTTTAATAATATATTTAAGAACTAAAAGCTAATCTTGTGATCTTTATACAACACGTACAAGTGTATTGTCAGCCAATAATTGATTAAATATTTAATTAATTAAATATTTAATTAATAACTTCATATTCTAACCACCCCACTGCTTATAGGAAAATGCCTCGAAGAGAGTACAAGATAGTGGTCCTCGGATCAGGAGGAGTCGGTAAAAGTGCTCTAACCGTCCAATACTGCTGCGGAACCTTCGTAGAGAAATACGATCCTACCATCGAGGATTTCTACAGAAAAGACACCGAAATAGACAACACTCCCATATGTCTTGAAATACTGGATACAGCGGGAACGGAGCAGTTTGTCAGTATGAGAGACCTCTACATTCAGAACGGACAGGGTTTCCTTATTGTATACTCCATCGCTAACTATCATTCTCTGCGTGACGCGTCAACGTTAAAGGACACTATACTGAACATCAAGCATGTGGACGAAGTTCCGATAGTTTTGGCGGGAAACAAGAAAGATCTGGAAGACCAGCGTGAAGCAAGTTTCCAAGAAGGCAAGGAGTTGTCAAAGCAGTGGGGGTGCCCGTTTTTTGAGACATCAGCTAAACAAGAGATCGGTATTCAGGACATCTTCACCGCTCTAGTGAGGGAGATGGAGAGGATCCCAATCCAGAGCTATGGTAGGCACAGGCGCAGGGGCAAGAAATCAAAGTGTACCATCCTGTGAGGGACATTTTGTAATGTTTTTAAAAGATACACGAGTGTGGGACATCGTGCCCCTGTCTGTAGTAACTGTTAGTCTGGTGTCTGGTGATAACGTCACGTGTTGTGATGACATCACGTGTTGTGATGACGTCACGTGTAGTGTCACGTGATTTGCAGGCATCTGTGCATGGAACCAAAACGCTTATAATGTCCTAAAATCATCCTCATCCTCATAATATTGTGTTGCAAGATTTAATAGGTTTGATGAATTCTCCTTGTTGTGTAATCATTGCATTGTGCCTCACTGTTAGACTAACTACTAGATAAACTGTGTACACGTGATGACGTCACGTGATGACGACACGTGATGACGACACGTGACACAGCTCACGTGAGACAAAAACTGAAAAAACTTTGACGGGACTGAAAACTTATCAAATCACCGGCATGTTGTTATCATATTGTTATGATGGTAAAAATACCATTTCTCGAGGGTGTCAAAAAGCGAATTTTCCAGATTTATCGAATGAACCTACTGTATAAATGGAAAATGAATTATTTCATCACGTCGTGATCTGAAATATTAAAGACTTTGTATTTTTTGTTTTTCATCTTAAAAGAGAGAGAGAGAGAACTGTTTGATATAATTAAATAAGTCAGTGTGGTTTACTCACTGGGCTTTGTGATCTTCTTCATCATGGTCCGAAGTACAAATCATTTGCACCTTCAACAATTTTTTATTGATCGACAACGACACGACCGAAAAGAGGTACATTTTATATGCGTTTTAATTTGATGATAAAAACCGAATTGGACGATTTTTGTTGTAAATTTAAGCTTTGTTATTTTTACGAAGGTATGTAGGCAAACTCTACAATTTGTAGTTAATGTTTGCTGTGGTTATAATAATAATGAATCCTTTAAATAATTGTTTTCAACAGTGCTCCGCTTTTTAAAATTCGAGATTCAATAAATCTTTGTTATGTCGGGCTTAAAAACTTGGATGGCATAAAACTTATAATTTAAAATTCTTATTATAGTGTAGCGCGGGTTATATTAGAATGTTACGAAAATATATTGAATCTTATAATTTCTACTGTGCTTTCTACAGAAATTTGTTAAGATATTTGGTATACTATAAATTAGATTAAATTCCTACCATAGATGCTAGGAAGTTTCAGGATAACAAATAGTTGGCTCACTTGATCTTGATTTCGAGTAGTTTCGAGTTATTTCGAGTAGCTAACAAAAGTCCTGTATAATTAGTCAAATTAGTAAACGTGTCGTACAAATATGATTATTTTCAAGGGTTAGCTCTAGCAGCGATACAAAGCCTAGTAACCATAGTAACACACGTGGTATATTATACTAACAAGTCAATGTTATTTCGTTTACTTTCAATTTGTATGGTAGTCTATCGTAGAATTAAATTTGTGCATCCTGTATTGATGATGGTTTTCCAGTTTCTTTTTAGACAAGTGTATGGTAGAGCCGTTTGGTGCGTTAAAATGAGTTTTTAAAGCAAGCGATAAGGAAAGAATGATAATGGTTTGGTTGTCGACTGATGATGTGATGTATCATTATACATTTCTGTTACATTATATTAACTATTATCTTTCTGCAAACTTGTGTAAATATTGATTATTAAGTTTTGACATAAAGTTTCTCGTTTTACTGTCTAAAGTGTGCCATTAGAATTTAAAAATCATAATTTAAAAAATAATCACCGGAGAGAGTTTAAATAAAATAGAATTCCACGTTCAGCAATTTGCTATAAATATATCACAGTAAATTAGACTCGGTTATAAGAAAAACATCGTCACCTGACATTATAACAATAGTATGATTGGTTGCATCTGAACACCGAGAAGATAACAACTACAACCTGTCACGTGTTTCATCTTTCTAATAATTTAACTAGAATTTTCAGCATGGTGATTGGAAATGAGGAGCAGCTAACAGAGGTTACCACAATTAAAGATGAGCCCCTGGACCCCCCTGAGGAATACTTCAGCTCTGCTGCACGTGACAACTATAGCAACCCACGTGACAACTATAGCAACCCACGTGACAACTATAGCAACCCACGTGACAACTATAGCAACCCACGTGACAACTATAGCAACCTACGTGACAACTATATCAACCCACTAAACGACGAACTGTTCAACCAGCCTTCACCCGGAGATAATCAGAACAATGTTAATCTGAGCAGTAATGATAATGATAATAGGGCCGATGACTCAAAATCAATTACACAGACCGACAGACAGACAAACACACAGACAAACACACAGACAAACACACATACAAACACACAGACAAACACACAGACAAACACACAGACCGACACACAGACAAACACACAGACAAACACACAGACAAACACACAGACAAACAACACGCCTACAGTGATCAGATCGTACTCTCTGGCGAATATCCCCAAATGTGGTGATGATGGGAGAGTACTGACTTTGGGACAGAGACTGGCACTTATTCAGAAGAAACACGAGGAGAAGAGGAGCTCAGAGGCCACATCTTCTTCGAGTGTAGGTTTGATATCTAATTCTAGTTTATAGTAAAAATGTTATTTTGGCTCGCGGCTGGGAGTCTAGAATATCGGCTGTTGGTGTTACAATTGACGATGCAATTCCAATAGCAGGGAAAGTTAATGGTGCATGGTGTTAATTACTAGTGTAATTGACAGACATTCTTCAGATAACGACATCGGAAGGAGAGACCACGCCCTCCAGTTCTACTGCAGACCAACGTGGAGACTCTTCATCAGCAGCCCAGGACAGGATTAACGTTTACTCAGGTACTTTACACAATATAAATATAGTAATATTATGTAGTAATAAGTTACATAAATTGTTTAAAGTCTATGATAGGTTCAAGATTTTACGATTAAGCTAAAGCCATGTAAAGTGATGCTTGTAAAAGCTGTAAAAGGAGCGTGCAGTCTTATGAAGTAAAATACCTCATTGAATAAGCTAGCTATGAATTAAAATACATTAGGAATGTTCAATAATTTTATCAATGACTGATTTTGGCCTATATTTAGTGTTAGTTCTTTAATTTTAAGCTTCACTCTATGATTTTAGTATGAACGATGTATTTTCAAGTATATAATATATATGATAGCAGTCCTAACTTTTATCATGATAGTTTCTGGGATGACTAGATTAAACACTGCTGAGTATAAGCTTATCTTAATTAATAGTGGTGTTCTTAAACTTCAATTTATTATTATTATAAAAGAATATCTAGAGAGAATATGGCCATGCATGGATTTTTGTGAGACTTCCATTCCCAAAAAAACATTTTTTGACTTCATCGAGAATTTCGGAGTGATTTTGGAGTTTCATACCTAATGACATGACTTATTGTAATTGTAATTTTGATTGTTATGATTTATCATGATTATATCTGAGGCAGTTAGCGCATTTGACATAATATTATGATGTTTGGGGTGAATATATACTGACTTGAGATGAAAAATACGTACGGTCCCACATCCAGAAACACGCCATCTTGCAAGGCAGCCTTGGAGGAAATTTTTTTTGGGAGGAAAAACGGGAGAAAAAGAGGAAATTTTTGAGAAGTAACTCCTAAATTTCGAAATATTTTTTTGGAATAAAGACAAATTAATTGAGGAAATTTTTGAAGAAAATGTTTCGATTGTATAAAAATCAAAGAGGAACATCCCGTCAGTTTTGGAACACAGTGAAATATTCTGATTGGAGAATGCAGATTGCTGTTGTGAAGTTACCAAATTTACGTGAGTACTTGATTCTTTTCAATCCCAGTTTATTGCTGTCCTACAAATTTCTTTAATGCCAAATGCCGTCTAAAACACCCTATTTCGCAAAAAAATTCCGGGGGCTGCGCCCCTAGCCCCCGCCAAGGGGCTCCGCCCCTGGACCCCGCTAGGGGCTGCGCCCCCAGACCCCTGCCACAGCTTGCTCGCTGCGCAGCTGGATTGGACACGTCGACTCGCTTCGCTCGCCGACAGCCCCCCCCCCCAAACTTGCGAGCGAAGCGAGCTGGCCACAGAATTTAGAAAAAAACGCATCTGGGAGGAAATATAAAACTTTCTGGATGTGGGCGTACGGTACGTACCTTTAAAAGTTGCTGTACCGTACGTACTTTAAGCCAAGCACCGTGCGTACTTCTCATTATAGTTACTGACTTGCTGCTTTTATTTAGTATTAACAGTAATTCTATCAGGGCTTAAATACAACGTTGCTATGAAAGTGCTGGTAACTGAAGAGATAAATAGGATCATGAACCAACGTGGGAAGGAATATTACATAAAAGAAGGGTAATTATTAATTAATACACTTAGAATTTAAAAATAAAATCTTTTCGCCTTCGAGAATACTGTAGAATATTCTATCACTTTCGATATGAATTACAGGCAGTGTTTAAAAAATACCATCCATTTTTATAACTTACCTCCTGCCTCCTGGAGAGAGTTTAGTTTAGTAGCTGTAACAAAAACCTTTAACACCTGTAACAGTGTAACACCTTTAACAAACACCTTTTATAAACACCTTTTATTGTAACAAACTACTGTAAAAAACATCTTTGCTCACTAAGGAATTACCGCAGTGTTACGGTTCACTAAAACCCTCTACCCTGCAGGTTGCGTGTGTTACGGTTCACTAAAACCCTCTACCTTGCAGGTTGCGTGTGTTACGGTTCACTAAAACCCTCTACCTTGCAGGTTGCGTGTGTTACGGTTCACTAAAACCCTCTACCCTGCAGGTTGCGTGTGTTACGGTTCACTAAAACCCTCTACCCTGCAGGTTGCGTGTGTTACGGTTCACTAAAACCCTCTACCCTGCAGGTGCTTGTGTTACGGTTCACTAAAACCTTCTACCCTGCAGGTTGCGTGTGTTACGGTTCACTAAAACCTTCTACCCTGCAGGTTGCGTGTGTTACGGTTCACTAAAACCCTCTACCCTGTAGGTTGCGTGTGTTACGGTTCACTAAAACCCTCTACCCTTCAGGTTGCGTGTGTTACGGTTCACTAAAACCCTCTACCCTGCAGGTTGCTTGTGTTACGGTTCACTAAAACCCTCTACTCTGCAGGTTGCGTGTGTTACGGTTCACTAAAACCCTCTACCCTGCAGGTTGCGTGTGTTACGGTTCACTAAAACCCTCTACCCTGCAGGTTGCGTGTGTTACGGTTCACTAAAACCTTCTACCCTGCAGGTTGCGTGTGTTACGGTTCACTAAAACCCTCTACTCTGCAGGTTGCGTGTGTTACGGTTCACTAAAATCCTTTACTCTGCAGGTTGCGTGTGTTACGGTTCACTAAAACCCTCTACCCTGCAGGTTGCGTGTGTTACGGTTCACTAAAACCCTCTACCCTGCAGGTTGCGTGTGTTACGGTTCACTAAAACCCTCTACCCTGCAGGTTGCGTGTGTTACGGTTCACTAAAACCCTCTACCCTGCAGGTTGCATGTGTTACGGTTCACTAAAACCCTCTACCCTGCAGGTTGCTTGTGTTACGGTTCACTAAAACCCTCTACCCCGCAGGTTGCGTGTGTTACGGTTCACTAAAACCCTCTACCCTGCAGGTTGCGTGTGTTACGGTTCACTAAAACCCTCTACCCTGCCATTCAGGTTGCGTGTGTTACGGTTCACTAAAACCCTCTACCCTGCAGGTTGCGTGTGTTACGGTTCACTAAAACCCTCTACCCTGCAGGTTGCGTGTGTTACGGTTCACTAAAACCCTCTACCCTGTGTATAAAGAGTGTCAGGTTTATCTGAAGGGTAGTCCCAAACAGGTACAACATTTTAATATTATTATAGTATTATATACTAGCAGCAAATTATGATATTTACAATGTACATGTTATATTAAATTATACAACAATTCAGACCATATTAGAATTACGCGTCGAGTTCAATTGTAAGCCTTTCTCAGTTTGAATATAAAAGTTTAAAATGGGCGACATATCTGATTTGAAGTAGATTTTTCCATTTTCAAAAATAAACAAATCATAGACATAATTATAAATACCAGGTACTGGAATGTTTGTACACTATAACAGAGGACCTCCGCAAGCATTTTGACAGAAGAAGAAACAGCGTGGGCAAAACCCGGGAAGAGACTATGTTGATTGTTATGCCTGCTATGATTACTTCAGAGGTTAGTCGATATTAGAGGTTGTTGTTAATTTTAGGTGAGTTTTAATAATTTGTGATCTATGTTGGACGGTTTATCTGTATTCGTTCATTTGAAACTTCCGTTTTAGGAGACTGCCTCGAATATAAACAATGCTTTACAACCTCGATATCCCTGATATTATACTTTGAGAGGCGTCGTCTGCTGACAGTGCTTATCGGCTAGCCGAGAGCGGAAACAAAATGAAACGACGAGTTACGTCAAACAAAAGCTTCGATCAAAACAATATGATCTTCTCAGTGATAACTAAGATGTAGAATATTTGACGTAATCCGTCGTTTTATTTTGTATAATCCATGCTACTATGATTCATGCTACAGATGTTAGTAAAATTAATATTGATAAGTATTATGTATCAATATTAATTTTCAAAATCGTATATTATATTGTATATACTAATATCTGTAAAGCATATAATTAACCCTAAAAACAACTCCCTCAGTTACTACGGTTCCGCAAGAGAAAGAGAGTAATACAGCACGTGGAGGAAAGTAACGGGGTGTGGATACAACTAGATGAGGGGACAGTAGAGGGAGAGTGTGTTATCAGTGTTACTGGGCACAGACAACAGATGAGGGATGGACTTAGGTCAGATAGTGTTCCTTCGCGCGGCGCACGTGCAATATTTATAGTGCACGTGCGATATTTATAGTGCACGTGCGATATTTATAGCACTATAATACGTGTGTGAATCTTTTGTTAAATGAATAGATATGAAATTGCCATGTCCTGATCTTGCGCAACTTCAACCATTTCAACTAGAACTATTTCAACTATGTAATCCTCCAACTTAAACCATGTCTTCCTCTTCAGACAGCTGGTAGAAGAACTTGTCACCTCCACACACGCTGACACCCTGCCCTCACTCTTCTTCTACATACCTCACCCTCGACACAGACACACCAGTACATACAGTAATACTTACAGTAATACTTACAGCGGTACTGTCAGTAATACTTACAGTGATATCGGTCCCCCGCGCTACAATAGTGACCAGCATAACATGAACCCAGCAGATGGAGGTACTCCTACTTGGTTAGCGTGTGGTAGACAGCAGTACCATCAATGGAAAACTTTCGGAGATTACCGGTTTTAGGGAGCTCTTCTGGTGGACATTTCTGAATTTTGTGTGTTGAAGCTTGGTGTGTCAAGTAGTAAATTGTCGTGTTGATTTGAATGTTGAAATAAATCCTTTCTAAGTAATTGGGAGAAATTCTTCTAAAATTTATAAAGTATATTTACTGAGTTACGGCTTCTTTTTTAGCTTCATAGTTATAATATTATGCTGCATAGCATAGGGTACATTTTACACACCGTTCCATTTTAAATTTTCAGAGAGAATTTTACAAATAATTTTATGTTAACTTATTTCATAATGATAATGTTCAAATTGATACACTTTCTTTTTAAATAAAATTATCAAGTTCTATGTCATATTTTGTTCAATTCTCCACTACAGAGCTCACTAATAGTGACCACATGATCGCGTGACGTCATTATGTTAGGAACACTGTAAAACGTATTACATGCACCATCATCAGGAAATACGGGCTGTAAAACAATGGTCACCAGCGACATCATACGACATACAGTCATACAATTAGGACAAGACAACATTCAATGGAAATTATCCGGAAACTGGCCATTGTTTTGTATCAATGATAATAAATGACTAAAATAAAAAGGCACCATCTGCAATCAGCATCACGCTATGACCATTTAATAGTTTACTTTTTATATCTATATTAAGATGAAGTTAATTTTGCCGGATATCTGTACCTGGTCAAATGCTTATTGTCTAAATTCTGTCTTAATCGGAATTTTGTCAGAAGTTTTAAGATTCTTCAGCTTGTCAATTGTCATTCATAGAGCTAACCTGAAAGCATATCCTACAATTGAATACATCATCGTTAATGATTGTATAAACTGCATTGGTAATACTAATTAATGCGACGTGTTGATGTCAAGGTAAAATGGCAGATCTTGATTCTTGACATATAAGGATACAGGGATACAATTGTATTGTATGTGCTAAAATACTACTACGTAATTTGATTAACCGAGAAAATTAAAGTAATGAATTTTGTAATTTGTGACATTCCAAAATCTTATTTTATACCCGGATGTTGTAGGAAATGGCGGAAGAAAACGAAAGTAAAGATGAGACGTCAAGTGAAGCGACCAAGAAGGTTACTGTTGTAATTATAAATATTTCTGCTGAATTTTTCTACTGTATGCTGTAATGATTTATGAATGAGGCACTTTTATATTATGACAATTATAATGAGTAATCCGTGCATTAGTACTAGTAGTGTTCAATAATTGTTATATATTATATAATATATATAATACTGATGTGGGTATTAACAGTTTGTTATCACTTATCAGCTTTTGTCCACTCCTCCCACTTTTATAAGTTAATTAAATTTAGTATCATAAAAACACTCATTAGTCAAATCTAAAGCTTATAATGCTATGTTGCACTTCGGCAAGATTGAAGTCATTGAAATCTGGGTGGAGTTTTCAGGGTTTAGTTTTCAGGATTTAGTTTTCAGGGTTTAGTTTTCAGGGTTTAGTTTTCAGGGTTTAATTTTCAGGGTTTAGTTTTCAGGGTTTAGTTTTCAGGGCCTAGTTTTCAGGGTTTAGTTTTCAGGGCCTAGTTTTCAGGGTTTAGTTTTCAGGGTTTAATTTTCAGGGTTTAGTTTTCAGGGTTTAGTTTTCAGGGTTTAGTTTTCAGGGTTTAATTTTCAGGGTTTAGTTTTCAGGGTTTAGTTTTCAGGGTTTAATTTTCAGGGTTTAGTTTTCAGGGTTTAATTTTCAGGGTTTAGTTTTCAGGGTTTAATTTTCAGGGTTTAGTTTTCAGGGTTTAGTTTTCAGGGTTCAGTTTTCAGGGTTTAATTTTCAAGGTTTAGTTTTCAGGGTTTAGTTTTCAGGGTTTAGTTTTCAGGGTTTAGTTTTCAGGGTTTAATTTTCAGGGTTTAATTTTCAGGGCCTAGTTTTCAGGGTTGTTTCAAGTGATTACAAAAGACTGAAAAGGAGAAAACTTAATCTCATGCTCTCATGCACTTACAATAATAAATAATGAGATATATTTGTAATTCTTAAGATGGCTTATCACTGTATGTAATATCCGGATCGGAAAATTTAGTAGTCCCTTGTGTAATGATTCTGGGGCAAAATTTGTAGTGTTCCCGTTTATTGCGACAAGGAAAAGTCTCTTGGGGGTCGATCACATATTTCGTAATAACATTTTGGACAATTTTCAACCCCCCTCTCTCCGTAATCTGTAATCAGTTTTACACATTGCTATTGTCTCAAAATTACACTAGCGTAATCATTTGGAAACCCCCTCCCCCCTCGGCTGATTACGTAATTTGTGAACGACCCCTTATCACTGTACAGTGTACAGTGTACATACCCCTTATCACTGTGTATAGTACACTGTACACAGTACAATATACACAGTACATTATACACAGTACATACATTCACACTGTTTCAGAAGGCTGCAGCCCCAGCGTCAGATAAAATAGCTGTGGTGCTCCGGAATGTGGGAAACGCCCCTATACTCCAGAAACAGAAGTACAACGTGAGTAAAATCAGACACGTGCCAGTTAGATATTGACACGTGCCTGGAATATATTGACACGTGCCAGTTAGATATTGACACGTGCCTGGAATATATTGACACGTGCCAGGAATATATTGACACGTGCCTGGAATATATTGACACGTGCCAGTCACAGATATGTTAAACAGTGTAAGTAAATGTTATGTAAGATATTGTTGCATTAATTAATGTGCGTCTTCATAATGTAGACTTTATCAGTGACCATGAAAACATACATGTATACTGTATGTATACTGTATAGTGTGTAGTAATAAGTCAACCATAGTAACACATAATATAATGTTTCATTCGTAGCTAGCCGACCTCAATTTATCTACAGCCAGTAAAGTTTTGAATACTTCTATATTTAATATTAGTGACCGTGTTCTCTAGGCGTCACTTTAGTAGGTATTTATTGCAGGGTTATGTAGCAGCTAATTTATGTTATGTAGCAGTTAATTTATAACTTTATATCACCATGCTGTGTTCAGACAAAAAATTATGAGTAAATTATGAGTATAGTAATTAAGTAAAATGAAGCTTTGGGACGACTCTCGCAAATGCGAGAGGAATGACCCTGAAGAGGGCTCCATTGGTTTTAGTAGGTTGCATACTGATCCAGGTTGATCTTCCAACCAATTGTAACTCTTTATTTTACATACCACCGTGCAGCTCATAATTAGTGTAAGGATAATGTAAGATAGTGTAAGGATAATGTAAGATAGTGTAAGGATAATGTAAGATAGTGTAAGGATAGTGTAAGGATAGTGTAAGATAGTGTAAGATAGTGTAAGATAGTGTAAGGATAATGTAAGGATAGTCTAGCTCATAACTAGTGTAGAATAGTGAAGTGAGTTAAAGATTCTGTCTGACATCACTGTAAATTACACCTTCAACTTTTAGTTTTGAGGTTTTTATGTGGCTTTCAGTTGTAATCAGAATGTTCTTTCTCTGGAGGAGAAAGCCAGACGTCAACTTTACGCCGGCTCTTAAAATACCTCACCACATAATTTCATACCATCATGATCCTGCAGTTTAACAACAAGTAATATATAATATATTTATAACAGTTTATTATAAACTACCCTCTCCAGTGACCAGTACTCTTACTCCATGTCGGCCGCAGTTGTCACCTGTCCACTCTCTTACTAGCTCCTGTTTGTTGCTGCTTCTACGGCTTCATTATTACATCGTGAACTTTCCTTACACCTCCTTTCTTGACCCTTCCATTTTGGGATTCGGGGGACACCGGACGGTGACCATCGTGTTTGTGTGTCGGGATCACTGATTTACTAGTTAGTAGTGGGTTTCTGGGAGGTCATGACAAGGGTGTTGTTCACCAGGTCTCACAGTTTTTACAAAACTTTTGCCAACACCTGCCGCTCAGTGGTCCAGTTTGAACTGTACGGCTTGACAGTTGCAGCCGCGTTCCGCAGGGCGGCCGTTTCTGTCACGGTTACGTCATCCCCGGCTATCCTTGTGTCATAATCACACTGTCATGCAGACTGTGCAGTTAGTTACTATGAAATCATGGCAGGAGAGATGCGGATACACAGTTACTTGGGTTTAAACTGGCGTACTGGCTAGATGTTGTACACTAGCTGCGATGTGTAGTAGGGGGCGCATTTATCGTTAAAATTTGTAAAAAGTGATGGAATGTTGTAGAATTGTCTTGAAGCCTGAAGTCAGAGTTTTGTAATTAATTAACAGTGACGACAGGTAGTCAAGACGCTATAATTAACACAGTATGCAGCATAATGTAGAACCCAAAATTATACATTATTTTGAGGTGTAGTGTATATATTGTATATTATTATATTGTGTGTATTGTGTATTGCTGTATGTACCTAGTGTGTTTCATGATCCATTATGTATAGCTTTAGGTCGGCTATGAGATGATACCTAATGACACTCGATATTCAATTGTTTCATAATATGGCTAAATAATTTATCATAGTTCTAACAAAGATGTAATCACTCAAACAGGGTTTGAAACATAGAGGTATCACAGATGGTGGTGATAGTTATTGCATCATACTAGATAAAATACTATTAACCACCACCATAACCACAATAACCACCACCATAACCACGGTAATGTAAGCGTTTATATTGTTCCCAGTTTACATTGTAAATGTTACCAAATACCCTGTTACCTGTTACAGCACCTCCAATATACATACGAGTTACCAATTGCAATTTGAGGTACTAAAAGGTTACCGTCTGCAATTAGCATGTATTCTAGAATACCACGGGTCAGAAATATCACGTGTGTCACAGTGAATGGTTAGTGAAGTGTGGTTCAGAACGGCATTTTGATTGTTGAGCAGATGTAGAACAAATCCGTAGGGGAGTGGTTAAATAACGAACGGTTACTTGAAAATAGCTCCATGTTCATGTTGTACATCTAAATTTACCAATACTGTTATATAATTCATAACCCTCCAAACACCCGGATGTTTTCTTGTAACAATAATTGTTAGACGAAGATCTCATTTAATTATAATATTATCCGATGTTTTGAAAATTTGTATTTTAAAGTTTTATAAGAAATTTATTTAACTCAATCATTCATAGAATCGAATCTAGCAAGGTCAAGATAGTCATAATGTGTAATCCTGGAATTTGCTAGTTTAGTTGTATGCTCCTTTGTAATCTTATCAGTTTTGGAGTTCCCAGCAACTTCCTGGCTGCCATCAATTCATTAGTGAGGAGACGCGTGGCTTAAGATCAAAGTGTAGCACGGTTTTAAGCAGTATATTGAGAAATAAATTTGCCACTTTTGACTTTTCTGTCGCGTTTTTCGATGAGCATCCTACCACTGACGTGCACAGAAGAGTAACATAAATAAATATTAATATAAATATTGAAGTTTAACAACACACTGTTAATCCTTAATTCTCACTACTCAGCAGTTAAGATTGACAAATTTTCTTTTATTGTTATGACTTACAATTTACATGACGCACGTATGATGTCAATAGTATACTAATCATCGGAATTCAGAATTGAAGATCATGTATCCTCTTTCATTTCCAAATGTCCCTCAAAAAGAAAGTGGTGGCCGGTTAAACGCGGGATTATCAGCTTCATAGTAGGTTCCTAGTAGGTTCCTAGTAGGTTCCTAGTAGGTTCCTAGTAGGTTCCTAGTAGGTTCCTAGTAGGTTCCTAGTAGGTCCCTAGTACTCTAGAAGGTTGTGGTGGGTTCCTAGTAGGTCCCTAGTAGGTTCCTAATAGGTTCCTAGTAGGTTCCTAGTAGGTTCCTAGTAGGTTCCTAGTAGGTCCCTAGTACTCTAGTAGGTTCCTAATAGGTTCCTAGTACTCTAGTAGGGTGTGGTGGGTTCCAAAGCGGGAGTATTCTGTTATTCTGTACGTCATGGTTAATGATCACTTGTAGCATGTTTATGTAGGTACAGGGTACTGCATACCTCCACAAATCTGGCGTGTAAACCAACAAACACTACGTAACTTACTGCTGTACACCTTGTATCGTGTGTTCTACATAATTATATGTACAACGTCTGTCATTATAATATGTACAACGTCGGTCATTATTTAAATAGATTTTTAGACTCGATTTTCAGGGCGCGCGATTGAAAATCGCTCGGGCAATACAATTACACATGAGTGCTGACCTTTGACTGGCGATAATTTCGGCTAGGAACAAACTTTTTCCATGGGACAAAAAACAACTAGTAGATATCACTCTCCTCTATCAGAAACAACTATAAAATCAATTTCGAGAGAAATTTCATAAAGACCCTCCTGCCCCTTTAATGTATATTGTATAGTGAGAGGTTTATAAAATCCTAAATCATGCATAGCAAAACTATAATACGCTTTTAGTCCAGCACCGCAAACAACACAGAGTTTGGTTAATATTTGTTTAAATTATAAACGGTACTACAAAAGCATGGAAGTTACCGGTTTCCTTCGCTTGCATTCTCTTTAAAACAAACTCTGACCAATGAGGTAGCCATCCTATACTTAGAACGAACGCTAAATATTCTCTTCTATTTTACATTGAATCTCCGGGGAAGTTTAATCCCATATAAATTGTAAATTTTCCAAAAATCGAATAACCCTGGCCTGATCTAATTTTACCGGGGTGTTTGGCGTATAAGTAACGCATCCCTACTAGTGTGAAGGTAAGAATAGCTACTCCAACCTCTTAGCTGTCTTTACAGGTGCTGTACAAGTGAGAGGGTGATGTCATGTGTATCTAGTTACACTGGGCGTGCGTGTGTAGTGTGCGTAGTGTGTGTAGTGTGTGTAGCGTGTGTAGTGTGTAATGTGTGTAGTGTGTAGTGTGTGTAGTGTGTGTAGTGTGTGTAGTGTGTAGTGTGTAGTGTGTGTAGTGTGTGTAGTGTGTTTAATGTGTGTAGTGTGTGTAGTGTGTGTAGTGTGTGTAGTGTGTGTGTGTGTGTGTGTAGTGTGTGTAGTGCGTGTAGTGTGTGTAGCGTGTGTAGTGTGTGTAGTGTGTGTAGTGTGTGTAGTGTGTCTAGTTACATAACACGGTGTGTGCGGAGTGCGGACGTGTATACTCACTGTATTGTGTGTACAGCTGTCAGGGTATCATTACAACTACCATGACAGTGCCACTTCTTCATGAACAGCTTATCTCTGCTGTATACTGCTTTATCTCTGATGAGCCTACCCGGCATGGTGCACAGCTCAGTAGGTAACAATAGTCCTGCTTACTTCTCAAACAAAAAGATTCTGCGGAAAGTAAAATACAATATCCGCACATATTAAAGCTATTATAAAGCTATTCTTTGCCAGCCAGATTATTAGCGCTATCAGGTGTTCACTGTGTACCATTAAGACGGTACCATTACCTGAACCCTCAACTTTTATATGTTAGAGACAAATCATACCAGATCTGTAATTTGTCATCGTCACGTTGGTATGTTATCACGAATACATGCTTTTCTCAACGTCTGTAAGAGGGGTACTCAAGAAACATGAGTACTTGAGCAAAACCCCCTACCTTGGCCGCGGCCCCGGCCCCCTCCCTAGTCATCTATAATATACCTCAGTATCTTATATCACGATAGTAATAAATACTGTGGCATTGCTAATTATAAAGTCCCATCTTATTTATCTGTTGTAGAAAAATGAACGTGTAAGATGCGCCCATTTATGTATTTGCCACTTTCACCCACTTTCAAGTTCTATTTATTTCAGACGTATAACTATAACACATAATAGTTGGTGACATAAGAACCGTTTAAAATTAAACCTCCTAACCGAGTTTAACATGGGATATTAGTTAAACCTTTCAGTTACATGTCATATTAAAGTGTTGTGCAATCGCAAACAGTTAATATACGTATTTTACGAATCGATTTAACGAAATAGAATATCTTTGAGTTATGGGGGCTTACAATTGTAGGGTTTAAATTACAAATTACAATTTTAGCCTACACGCAGGAACATTGTCAGATTTGTAATTGATACCTTTGTGTTTTTGTACACGGTCTTTTGAATAAGTGTTGTTTGGGATCGTTCATGTTATAACGTAATCAGCTCAAGGTGGGAGAAAGTTTTGAAATGCTCACACTAGTATAGTTTATACAGAGTGGTTATCTGTTAGATAGTGCTAGTGGGGGGGGGGGGGGTCTGAAATGGCAAAAATCTGGCTTACGTAATTTGTAATGTAAACGGTCTTCTATTTGCATTTTATTTGGTTAATAATCTGTTAATTAAAAAACGCAAAATTACCCAATTATCTAATTTTGTTAATTTATAATTCCCGTCAGGTGGACAAAAATAAGACGGTTAAGTGGATGTCTAATTGGATCAAAGGAAAACTCAAACTTAAGGATGTAAGGAATTTGAAGTGCTGCTAATTAACATATTTGTATTTAAACAATTATTTTATATCAGAATTTCCATTTGTTAACGTTCAATTAACACTCAATTAACACTCAATTAACACTCAATTAACACTCAATTAACGTTCAAATAACACTCAATTAGTTCTCAGTTTGTTGATCATAACATAACGACACCGCAGGACGAACAAGTGATCCTGTACATCGCCCAACACTTCGCGCCCCCTCTAGATCAGCACGTGGGCAACTTGTTCGACTGTTTTGGGACTAATGACAAATTGGTAGTGCAATATGCCACTCAGCCTGCTTGGGGATAAATCAGTTAATTTATAATTATAATTGGTTAATAAGCGAAAAAGCTGATCAATCTATCATTGAATAACACGTTATGTGTGTGTTATGTGGGGATATTATTATCTTTCTCAGTTTCAGATTCACCCTCTCCACGTGTAAAAGATAACATTTTTACAGGAGTTGAAACTTTTTTATCAATAATTATTTGTTTCCAAAAACACTCCAATGCATTACAGAGGTAACATATAAGTACAGTGGGTGTAGATTCGCTCTATTGACCGCTCTATTGAACAGTGCAATTTTCCGCACCATCGGCCGATATAATTGAGAAAAACATAAGATGAAGCATTTTGGCAAATGAACAACTCCTGCTGGATCGCAATCCCTCAACACATTGAAATTTAGTCACATTAGCCTAAATTAGATGTATAATCATGAATCATAGTTATATAATAGGTAAAGTTAGATACTATTATAGCTTGCAGGCTCCAGGCATTTTAGATTACGGTTATACATACAGTGTTTGAATCTGATGTTGTAGAGTAACAATATTGAATACTCTGCAACAATTATGCTCATGGCCACCTCAACAAGCCAGTGTAATAACTAATACATTAATCTTGTAAGCTATTTGTTATGTTAAACTCGACAATCGTGTAACCTTTATATACTACGCTGTTGAATAATCTAACCTTGGAGTACCTAAAGGCTGAAATTTTGCAAATTGTCGAACAGCTTAATTGCAGTGTTTTCCCTTCCAACACTGCCAGGCAGGTGCAGGATCGCACTATTTGAAAAATGTTATCTTATGTGTTGCCTCTGCAATGAAAGGAACTGTTGTTGATGGTGTGTTTTAAATAATATAATTTATTCAATACGCAAAGTTAGAAATTCTGATCCTATAATATTCACCTTTAATCCTTTTGGTGAAGTGTGTCCGGAATTTTTCATTGTTCATTTGAAAGGAAAAAAAAATTTTGAAATGTTCTGAAGACAGTGCTGTGCCGTATAATTTAACGCTATCATATTACAAACCCGTAACATACCCGTAACATACCGCTCACCGCTCACGGGGAGGGGGATATGTAATGCCCCCAAAAATTACAATCCATTTTCCACCACTACATATGCCTATGATATGTAATTGAATATGCCTATAATATGTAATTGAATATGCTTTAACTAGAGCCTTATCGTAGACTCATGAGTCAAGAATTTGCGTTTTATCGTTTATCAGTGATTTTGTATTGCATTGTGTTTACTTGTGTAAAGATAATTATTTTTGTTAATTACTTATGCGCTTCGTTTTAAGGTGCTGGACACTCATACAATTATTGTTTCACTTGCTTAAAGAATGTGTTAAAGAATGTGTCCGGAATGAATGAAAATATAAATGCAATTATTATTCTTATCAACAATATTGGTGGCTGCAAGACCATCAAAGATCAGTTTACGAACTTCGCTCATGATATACAAATATGTTCAGTTGACTATGATTACTCTTGCAAATGGTTAAAATGGAAGGAAATGAAAGGCAGTCAAACAGGTGTAGCTAGTATAAATATGTTTGCTTAGGAAGTTAGGACTAGTTTGTGATTTAAGAATTATTACAGAATGAGCTATGTCATGGAATGTTCCAGAATAAACTCCACTACAATTCCACTACTGATAAGGTCCTGAGGTCATGTGGTGATCAGGAACCAGACATTTGATAAACTGCCAAGCTTCGTCAAACTCACCAATGGTTGCCCGTTCCCACGTGACCACTTACATCCAACCTGACAGCAGATATGAATTCACGTTATCGTCTTCTAGCAGAGTCACGTGACGGGTACCACTGTACCAGCCAATCAGAGCTCTTCTAGTCTAGTCATGTGACAGTTACCAGCCAATCAGAGCTCTTCTAGCAGAGTCACGTGACGGGTACCAGCCAATCAGAGCTCTTCTAGCAGAGTCACGTGACAGGTACCAGCCAATTGGGACTGTGATTGGTGTTGTGTTGACACTGGATCGTTATTAGTGGTGGGTAGTTAGAGGCACGACGCTAATCTTCTTTGTTGGGCTGGAAGGTGTGAAAAGCGCTGAAATGTATAGCTGTATTTGTAGTGGGAGGTGTATGTGCAGGATTCTTGTGGTCTATTGTTGGAGGGTTACAAGGTTATTGTGCAGACTGCAGGTGATAGGTCTCACTGTGCAGACTGCAGGTGATAGGTCTCACTGTGCAGACTGCAGGTGATAGGTCTCACTGTGCAGACTGCAGGTGATAGGTCTCACTGTACTGTCTGTGGTGGGTTGGAGACGCTCACTAATAATAGGGACCATGGTTTACTGATTATAATATCGCTACTCTGGGATTACCACTTATCAGAGAAACCTTTCTGTTTGTGCCAGAGCAGTTGTAAATCATGAGCAATCATCAGTCTGATAGATTCTAATTAAACAGTGGTAACTTTAGAAGTTCTAATAGAAAACGTGGATAACAACAAGATCAATACTGCATGCTCATTGAAAAGGAGTACATTTCTCCTTATTCTCATAAAATATATAACATAATTAACAATATCTACTTCATCCTGCAGTTATTCGACCCTAGATGATACATTTTTTAATTCTACGATGAAAATAATATGAAGTTCCCATACTTTATGTTTCATATAATCGTAAAATCATAACACCTTAAACCTAAATCACGTAATCTATATATAATAATTGCGACCTGAATTGTCATGCAAAACGCAACTATTTGTAATTCAGTATTGTGCAGGATGTTTGCCACGAGAGGATTAGTAATACAGTATTGTGCAGGATGTTTGCCACGAGAGGATTAGTAATACAGTATTGTGCAGGATGTTTGCCACGAGAGGATTAGTAATACAGTATTGTGCAGGATGTTTGCCACGAGAGGATTAGTAACGGGAGCTATGTCCTGTGCCAGATCTGTCAGTCACGTGACTATTATTGGGGGTGGTCTAATGGGCTCCGGGATAACCCAGGTAAACACCATGTGTTAGTGAAGTACACTTTACTTTTCATACAAAGTTACAACGAATTCATCATGTTATGCATCCTGGGTTTGGACAGGATATGACCCGTTTAAAATATTTCCATCACGTTACATCACATAATTCTCAATAAAAGTAATAGATTTGTACTTGTAGAGTTGTAATTAGTTTAAAACTATGTTTCGAGTATTCTATTAGGCTGTACCAAAATACTAAAGTTTGTCCAAAACGGTGGCCATGGAAACGCGTTGAAAATCAGTTTTTTTCGCTATAACCTTTTAAATAAATGTTTTAGACACATAGTTGACCAATAAGTTGAACATAAACATACACATTTATCATCTTTTAAGCTATTATTCGACTGTCTAGGTGCTATAGTTCTCATGTTATGGCATTTATGGGTCCATGCACCGTCGCGTTAGGCCGTAACCATGGAAACGAGCAGAGCAACCCTAAGATTTTGGAGTAGGGCTCCAAAAAAGTGAACTCTCGGTAACCCAATACAACTTTCTGGAATCGTTCTTTAATTTTGGACAAACGTTAGTATTTTGGTACAGCCTAGTATTCTATTGGTTTACAAACATTAATTTGTTTGAAAATAAATTTAAAGACATTATTTTCTAATGAATTATGTTCAACATGTTCTACCCACCTTAGGTAGCAGCACAAACAGGGCATAGAGTCACACTAGTCGATCTTGACCAAAACATCCTCGATGGAGCCACAGCGCGCATCACCAAGTCTCTTGCGCGTGTCGCCAAGAAGAAGTTCGGGGACGACGCAGATGGAGCTAAAGCTTTCATGGATACCACAATGGGCTCTATTTCTACTGCTACTGATGCTTGTAAGTTCGCTGGATTAGTATCTGGAAAATGTATGTTTATAAATATATTGTAAGTTAGCTTCTTAAAAGGTTTGAACGAGAAGCCGATTTACATTAAGGTTTTAAAGTATGAATTTAAAAGATGTCACGGGAAAATTAAGAACCCCATTTAGATGTTCCAGCTCTTTAAGCTAGAAAGCGTGTGCAAAAATTCGAAGGGAGGTGAAGGATAATGCTTTTAGTGCTAATATTTATTTAAAACCTCGGAAAATGGGAAAAATTGTTCAATTTTCACCATCAGTCTTTTGTCAAATATCAGATTTAATACTTCCAACATGCTCCATTCTTTCAACCCAAACAAAAGTTTAGAAGTGTAACTCGCGAGAGATTTCAATCATGTCGTACCTTTCTCCTCCTCGCAGTTCTTTCTTCGACCAGTATACAAAACTGAGCAAAGTTGCATATTGCCCCATATTGCATAACTCTGTGCTGGTTGTGTTGTTATTATCATCTAATTCATTATTCAGCGGACCGGGGTGACTTTATTTCAAACTTGCATTCTTTATCTTGTGCAATATGTTCCTTACTAGCAACGATAATCCTATCTAAGGTTCGCGTGCTATTTCTTTATGAATAGTTAAAATTCTTCTAGATTTATTGCGACGAGTACTGCAGTTTTGTAAGTAGTTTACGTAGAGCTACTATAACAAACAAAATATTGGAGCAATGCTACTAGAGCCAGCATCCTTTGTTACAGAGACATTATTGCTACAATAATCACGTGGAATCTATTTAGTTTATGTATGTTATGGGAACTATGGTGCTGTAAAAACATCTTTAAGATATATCTCACAAAAATACACCCTCTCCCTTCGTTTGACACACCCTGTATGTTTATTACACTTCTTATTTCAAACACCGAATTAAATTGACAACACTGCAGTAATTGTACGGGTTATGTGTCCGAAAGTAATCAAATAAGAGAAATATGTAAGCTTGGAATGTCCGGCAACGAGTTAAGAATCGAATTAAGTTGGCATATAAATTGGTATATATTATATAAATAATACAATATGTATATATACTTATAAGTATAATTCGAACAATTGAAACAAATCAAATTGGCGGGCAAACGATCCGTTTCATGATATGTATAAAAACAATACCAATCATCAGTGCCAAATAGAATAATGAATTGTAGCGCTATGACATGTTGCTCCTTTATAAAATAATTTTTATCGATCATGAAACATTTTCAAAATTATCAAAATTTACATAATTTACAACTATTTATTAGTTATGCTCCTTCGACTCGTCGTTGTTGAGCACTCTCGTTTGATAACCAGAATCAACAATTAACTCTCAAATACGGATCCTAATTCTACCAGCTTCACGGAACTCAGTAAAGAATTTTCCTCTACCACTACACGAAGGCCAACGCAGTTTACAACTTTAAAAGCCAAAGATATCTTACTACCTTACTTCATAGACAATTTTAAAATTGGGACGGACACAATAAACTTATAAACTGTTTTTTTTGTTTGTAAATTTTGTAAATTTTGATAATTTTGAAAATGTTTCATGATCGATAAAAATTATTTTATAAAGGAGCAACATGTCATAGCGCTACAATTCATTATTCTATTTGGCACTGATGATTGGTATTGTTTTTATACATATCATGAATTCGGATCGTTTGCCCGCCAATTTGATTTGTTTCAATTGTTCGAATTATAATGCTCCTGCTTTTAACTGCAGTCGAGCACTCTCTTTGGGAAACCAAACAACAACTATTTATTAGTTATGCTCCTTCGACTCGTCGTTGTTGAGCACTCTTGTTTGATAACCAGAATCAACAATTAACTCTCAAATACGGATCCTAATTCTACCAGCTTCACGGAACTCAGTAAAGAATTTTCCTCTACCACTACACGAAGGCCAACGCAGTTTACAACTTTAAAAGCCAAAGATATCTTACTACCTTACTTCATAGACAATTTTAAAATTGGGACGGACACAATACGTAAACTGTTTTTTTTGTAAATTTTGTAAATTTTGATAATTTTGAAAATGTTTCATGATCGATAAAAACTATTTTATAAAGGAGCAACATGTCATAGCGCTACAATTCATTATTCTATTTGGCACTGATGATTGGTATTGTTTTTATACATATCATGAAACGGATCGTTTGCCCGCCAATTTGATTTGTTTCAATTGTTCGAATTATAATGCTCCTGCTTAACTGCAGTCGAGCACTCTCTTTGGGAAACCAAACAACAACTATTTATTACTTATAAGTATATATATATATACTTACTTATATATAAATTATATAACTAGTACTGGAGGTGTTATTTTGCAAGATGCAACCTAGAATCTTCTGGCCCAAACATTAACAAATCAATTTTAAACTGATAAAAGCAAACTAAACTATGTCAGTTAGCCGGTAGCCCCCACCCCCCGTTTATGAAAAGAACCTTACACTCTTTTCATTGTTTTTGTTGTTGCTGTAATTGGATGACACAATTAATCGTTATGTTGCTTTCAGGCTCCGTGGTAAAGGACACTGATCTTGTAATAGAAGCAATTGTGGAGAACATGGCTGTGAAACACAGGCTGTTCAAAGAACTGGACTCTGTTGCACCTCAGGTAAAATTATGTAATATTATCAGTTAGATAATGTTATGTAACAAATACAGACCAGAATATTAGAATTACGTGAATAAAATTGCTGAAAGGTATAGAATTTGATTTACATCGGTACGGTCAGCTGTTTTTATAACATATATTAAGTACTACTTTTTCACTATATATTTTCAAGTATTTGATAGCAGTCCTAACTTTTATCATGATAGTTTCTGGGATGACTAGATTAAACACAGCTGAGTATACGTTTATCTTAATAGTGGTGTTCTTAAACTTCAATTTAGGTCGGACCCTACCAGCCTACCTTTTAAGTCAATTTCACGACATAATTCCACGGACTTACTTTCCACGCAGCCTCAGGCTCGTTGGTTTGACATAATTTCTTTAAAAGCAGACCTCGCCGTGTGTGTTGATCTGTTAATTGATTAAAACATGTTACATGTTACATGCGTGACAGACTGACGCGATACAATACCTCTAACCCTGTAGTAACTCATAATGCGTCATAGTTTACAGAGTGTATGTCAGTAAAGTACTGGATTGTTTCATGTAACTCAGATTATGAGTACATTATAATATACAGTCACCCATTTATGTAGCAGACTGATTTATCTTCTGTTAAACGAGACATTTTGCTTGTTTCAGCTCTTTTAATTCAGGGCCAAGGTGACGTATTAGAGTAGCACAGAATCTAGTGACAGTCAGATATTTGCAGTATCAACTAGTGTTAATTTGTCTAGCACTAGATACTGTAACTTTACGAGTAAAGTTGGTAGATTGAGCTAGCCATTGAGGTCATCAATCTGTCACTTTGTCACTTTTTTTACGCCTATGCCATGCCTGTATCAAACATATAATATTTATCCGGTTGAAAGTGGAAGCCATCGTTTAAATCTTTAAATGACTGTAAAAGCAACCTGCAACTAGGGAGACAATACAGTATACACCTGCAATGGCATAGTGACATTTCTGCCAAATAGTGCACTTTATTCTTCAATCAGACTGAAGTAAAACCTGCATATCCATGTGACTAAGGGTTTAATAACTTAATAGGAAACAATTTGCATTTTAAATTTAGGACTCAGCTCACCGAGGTAAGTCACAGACTTCTAGCAGGCACAGTATCTAATTTCACAGACTTCTAGCAGGCACAGTATCTAATTTCACAGACTTCTAGCAGGCACAGTATCTAATTTCACAGACTTCTAGCAGGCACAGTATCTAATTTCACAGACTTCTAGCAGGCACAGTATCTAATTTCACAGACTTCTAGCAGGCACAGTATCTAATTTCACAGACTTCTAGCAGGCACAGTATCTAATTTCACAGACTTCTAGCAGGCACAGTATCTAATTTCACAGACTTCTAGCAGGCACAGTATCTAATTTCACAGACTTCTAGCAGGCACAGTATCTAATTTCACAGACTTCTAGCAGGCACAGTATCTAATTTCACAGACTTCTACCAGGCACAGTATCTAATTTCACAGACTTCTAGCAGGCACAGTATCTAATTTCACAGACTTCTAGCAGGCACAGTATCTAATTTCACAGACTTCTAGCAGGCACAGTATCTAATTTCACAGACTTCTAGCAGGCACAGTATCTAATTTCACAGACTTCTAGCAGGCACAGTATCTAATTTCACAGACTTCTAGCAGGCACAGTATCTAATTTCACAGACTTCTAGCAGGCACAGTATCTAATTACAGACTTCTAGCAGGCACAGTATCTAATTTCACAGACTTCTAGCAGGCACAGTATCTAATTTCACAGACTTCTAGCAGGCACAGTATCTAATTTCACAGACTTCTAGCAGGCACAGTATCTAATTACAGACTTCTAGCAGGCACAGTATCTAATTTCACAGACTTCTAGCAGGCACAGTATCTAATTTCACAGACTTCTAGCAGGCACAGTATCTAATTTCACAGACTTCTAGCAGGCACAGTATCTAATTTCACAGACTTCTAGCAGGCACAGTATCTAATTTCACAGACTTCTAGCAGGCACAGTATCTAATTTCACAGACTTCTAGCAGGCACAGTATCTAATTTCACAGACTTCTAGCAGGCACAGTATCTAATTTCACAGACTTCTAGCAGGCACAGTATCTAATTTCACAGACTTCTAGCAGGCACAGTATCTAATTTCACAGACTTCTAGCAGGCACAGTATCTAATTTCACAGACTTCTAGCAGGCACAGTATCTAATTTCACAGACTTCTAGCAGGCACAGTATCTAATTACAGACTTCTAGCAGGCACAGTATCTAATTTCACAGACTTCTAGCAGGCACAGTATCTAATTTCACAGACTTCTAGCAGGCACAGTATCTAATTTCACAGACTTCTAGCAGGCACAGTATCTAATTACAGACTTCTAGCAGGCACAGTATCTAATTTCACAGACTTCTAGCAGGCACAGTATCTAATTTCACAGACTTCTAGCAGGCACAGTATCTAATTTCACAGACTTCTAGCAGGCACAGTATCTAATTTCACAGACTTCTAGCAGGCACAGTATCTAATTTCACAAACTTCTAGCAGGCACAGTATCTAATTACAGACTTCTAACAGGCACAGTATCTAATTTCACAGACTTCTAGCAGGCACAGTATCTAATTTCACAGACTTCTAGCAGGCACAGTATCTAATTTCACAGACTTCTAGCAGGCACAGTATCTAATTTCGCAGACTTCTAGCAGGCACAGTATCTAATTTCACAGACTTCTAGCAGGCACAGTATCTAATTTCACAGACTTCTAGCAGGCACAGTATCTAATTTCACAGACTTCTAGCAGGCACAGTATCTAATTTCACAGACTTCTAGCAGGCACAGTATCTAATTTCACAGACTTCTAGCAGGCACAGTATCTAATTTCACAGACTTCTAGCAGGCACAGTATCTAATTTCACAGACTTCTGATTTGATTTCATTTGAAACTTTTACAAAATAGCAAATATACAAATGTACAGCAAATCGAACAAACATATAAAATGGGCCGAAATGTATAAATGCTATAAAGCGTGGGTCAGTGAAACAAGTACAGAGGACAACTTTTAAAACACGATGTTTATGGCCGCCCAAAGTCTCAATAACGTCACCTCCACCTAGAAATAAAATTATGAAATATGAAGTGTGAAACAAATTATGAAATATGAAGTGTGAAACAATCAAGAAATAGAGTATATAATTTATAAAATTGTCTCTCAAATACAAATAACGTCCGAAAACTATTAAGATACCCAATACTCATTCAAATACTGATCAGTGTCCGAGAGACATGAATTGCTTCATGGTGGTTTCTTTTCACGGCTACAGACTTTCCCGTACCGGATATAGTGGTCGAGATGAGTCTGTTCAGCCCTCTTCTTCTTCAGGTCAGTAACCAGATGTTTCCTCGTTGCTCGTTCTTCACTAGATCTATCTGGACAGATGCATACATTTTTGTGGGTCTCAACTAGCCTCAGTCTCCCTGTTTTCATCAGAATCTGTTGAACCGCTGTTGAGCTTGGGACAGTGATCTTGACTGGTCGGATAGTCGTACTACCTGGCCTCTTCCTGCCGACTCTAGTCGCTTCGAAGTGAGGTTTCTCCCCAATCTCCTCCAGAACTGCGGTTACTAGCGCTGGAAGCTGTTCTCCCTCTTCTTCTTTCAACCCAAACACAATCAGGTTCTTGCTCCTGTCTTCCTCTGCAGCCACACTCTTCATCACCTTCTTCAGGATGTTACTGTTGCAGACCGTACCACTTGCACTGTTCTGTTGTACAGTTGCACTGTAGCTCTTAATCCCTGACTCCACCGTTGTTTGCACTGTCTCCTTAACCGACGTCTTAAACAACTGTAGTTCTTTGTCCTTCTGCACAAGCAGCTGGCCCTGCAGCCTGATCACCTTATCCTTGTCTTCTAACGCTTCCGTCTTCAAGAAATAGATGATCTCCTCCATTTTAGCCATCTGGCATTCATGCCGTTGAACGAGGTCTATTGCTTCCACAAGCCGAAGTGCCAGATGCTTTTTATATACAGTTGGAGCCATAAAAATTTCTCTGTCCATATCTCCACAAATATCTCTGTCGTCGATTTTCAGTTCTTTTCCCAGCGCAATGAACCACTTAGTAACACTGTCCTTCAATTTTGTCTGTTCATCATACTCGAATCCTTGAATTTGGTCCAGAGATTGGGTCACCTTACGATCATCCTCCATAGTGTACTTGTATAGGAATGTACAAGTACACACGCAAAGGCTAACTACGCGGTAGCAGCAAACTGAACTTATCGCAATTTACAAAAGATGCAGGCACAGTATCTAATTTCACAGACTTCTAGCAGGCACAGTATCTAATTTCACAGACTTCTACCAGGCACAGTATCTAATTTCCTTTACATCATCATTCACCATTAAAAGTTTCTAATAATATATTGGCTTTCGTGAAATTGTATTATTATATTATAATAGATATAGAAATGTTTTAAAAGTGACTTTATTAATATTATGTATGTTTACCAATGCTCTCCACTGCTCGGCTGACTCGTTTCTATAGTGTCAGTGATGGCGTTAATTTGTCTAGAGGTATTCAGTGAGATATGATAGGGATATTATAATATATATTATGCTCTGATGAGATCATCTCTCATTTAAGAAGTATACTAGTTGCTGATCATTCACTGTGTACACATAACGTTGTCACTCGATTTATCTTAAGTAATGAAGAAACAAAGTGGAATTGTGACCCGACGCTCGGATGCTTTTTTCAATCTCTTCGCTGCAAAGCGTGCCTTTATGTTGGGCACTAGATACACATCGTGTTTATGATATCATCTTTAAGATAGTAATAGGTGATAAACGTTGTTGTTTATGTAAATATTACATTAACAGTTAACACACTGCATACAGTATACAGTATACAGTGTATACTATGTACTGTATATAATACGACGGACTTAGTGTCTTGGTAGTCGGTGAGGTGTTATGTAGATAAACCAATATCCTGCCAGCATCATGAGTTACTATGTGTGTTACACAAAGTGTGTTACATTGTTACATAGAGACAGAGTGTGTTACAGGGAGTGTGTTACAGGGAGTGTGTTACAGGGAGTGTGTTACAGGGAGTGTGTTATAGGGAGTGTGTTACAGGGAGTGTGTTACAGGGAGTGTGTTACAGGGAGAGTGTTACAGGGAGTGTGTTACAGGGAGTGTGTTACAGGGAGTGTGTTACAGGGGGTGTGTTACAGGGAGTGTGTAACAGGGAGTGTGTTACAGGGAGTGTGTTACAGGGAGAGTGTTACAGGGAGTGTGTTACAGGGAGAGTGTGTTACAGGGAGTGTGTTACAGGGAGTGTGTTACAGGGAGTGTGTTACAGGGAGTGTGTTAGAGGGAGTGTGTTAGAGGGATTGTGTTAGAGGGAGTGTGTTAGAGGGAGAGTGTTACAGGGAGTGTGTTACAGGGAGTGTGTTACAGGGAGTGTGTTACAGGGAGTGTGTTACAGGGAGTGTGTTACAGGGAGTGTGTTACAGGGAGTGTGTTACAGGGAGTGTGTTACAGGGAGTGTGTTACAGGGAGTTTGTTACAGGGAGTGCGTTACAGGGAGTGTGTTACAGGGAGTGTGTTACAGGGAGTGTGTTACAGGGAGTGTGTTACAGGGAGTGTGTTACAGGGAGTGTGTTACAGGGAGTGTGTTACAGGGAGTGTGTTACAGGGAGTGTGTTACAGGGAGTGTGTTACAGGGAGTGTTTTAGAGGGAGTGTGTTAGAGGGAGTGTGTTAGAGGGATTGTGTTAGAGGGGGTGTGTTAGAGGGAGAGTGTTACAGGGAGTGTGTTACAGGGAGTGTGTTACAGGGAGTGTGTTACAGGGAGTGTGTTACAGGGAGTGTGTTACAGGGAGTGTGTTACAGGGAGTGTGTTACAGGGAGTGCGTTACAGGTAGTGTGTTACAGGGAGTGTGTTACAGGGAGTGCGTTACAGGGAGTGTGTTACAGGGACTGTGTTACAGGGAGTGTGTTACAGGGAGTGTGTTACAGGGAGTGTGTTACAGGGAGTGTGTTACAGGGATAGTGTTACAGGGATAGTGTTACAGGGAGTGTGTTACAGGGAGTGTGTTTCAGGGAGTGAGTTACAGGGAGTGTGTTACAGGGAGTGTGTTACAGGGAGTGTGTTACAGGGAGTGTGTTACAGGGAGTGCGTTACAGGTAGTGTGTTACAGGGACTGTGTTACAGGGAGTGTGTTACAGGGAGTGTGTTACAGGGAGTGTGTTACAGGGAGTGTGTTACAGGGAGTGTGTTACAGGGAGTGTGTTATAGGTAGTGTGTTACAGGGAGTGTGTTACAGGGAGTGTGTTACAGGGAGAGTGTTACAGGGAGTGTGACAGGGAGTGTGTTACAGGGAGTGTGTTACACGGAGTGTGTTACAGGGAGTGTGTGGTGTGTGACAGAAGAATTTCCTTGTTACAGCCTACTTGTGGCGGAGATTGGGATTTTGTTTCTTGCCTACTTCCAAGGATTTTACAACTATAACAATAAAATATATGAACAAGTTTACTACTTAGTTACTTAGTTACTTAGTTACTCAGTTACTTAGTTACTTACATACTTAGTTACTTAGTTACTTAGTTACTAAGTTACATAGTTTCTCAGTTACTTAGTTACTTAGTTACTCAGTTACTTAGTTACCTAGTTACTTAGTTACTCAGTTACTTAGTTACTTAGTTAATTAGTTACTTAGTTACTTAGTTATTTAGTTACTTAGTTATTTAGTTACTTAGTTACTTAGTTACTTAGTTACTTAGTTCCTGCCACAAAATGTCACACATCTGCATGATTTGAGCGAGCTCGGTCGTTTACTAGTATTACATAAGTTAGATATACAATAATTTCAGTGAATTTAAAACAGATGGTTTTTTGGCCAAAAAACCAACTACCAAAGCTAACTGCTAATGTTTAATCTTGACACATACATGTTGTTCGTCTATTTCTTCTGTGAATCCACTGTGCAACTCACCCCTAATCTTATAATAAAGACACCCTCTTAATCTCCAAATGACGAACCATCATCACACAATGTACACACAGGATGAGAATAGAACACACGTTTTAACATACCCATGTAAATTGTTAAGGTAATGTTCATTTCCGTGTTGCGGAGTATTGACATTTTAAGTGTGCTGTGTAACCCTATATCAGGGGGTGGTAGTACATCCCTTGGTGGGTGGTAGTACATTCCTTGTGTCATGTGTATGTCAAATATTTAGTAGATAAGTTAGGTGCATTATTACACTCTGCAGTTCGGGAGACAGTTCCCGGGTGTACAATTGCTCGTATTTTCAGTGAATGAAAAGTTTGTTTCTTGGTATCATCTCAAATTATAGTTTGGATTTGTTAGTAGATTGTGAGGAGTGAGTAGAGGGGTGGGGGTGTGGCCGGGGCCAGGGGGGGGGGGGGGGGGGCATCCTGATGAGCTGCCAAATTATTTGTAAGGGCAGCGTAGAAACATGTCGGTGAATTTAGAGACATCAAATAAAGTTGATCATGTGAATTGGACTTGAATGACATGATATTAAAAAATGATGTTGGAAAATGACTGAATTTATAAGTAATTTAATTTTGAAGACCCCTTGGCCTTCTGATTTACATAAATAGGAACCTTTTTATTTCATTAATTGATTAATTACACAACTTAGTAGCATTTATTAACCAATTATTAATTTCAGAGTGTTATCTTTACAAGTAACACTTCGTCCTTGTCTATTGCTGAGATCGCAGAGGTAACCTCACGAAAAGACAGATTTGGGGGTTTACATTTCTTCAACCCTGTTCCAGTCATGAAACTGCTGGAGGTTTGTACTTATATCTTTATACTACAGTGCCACCTCTAAATTATTTCTACATATTTGTAAATAATTGGAATTGTTTTGGACTTAAATTATTTCATGATTACTACTATTATGTATTCAATAAAGTAGTTGACACTTTTGTATCCTTACCAGGACAGTTTATTTCTTTGAGTAAATTGACATCTTATTGTGGCAATTCATTTGTTTCGATTTGCAGACATTTCATTATTTTCACGAATATAATCGCCGTCCTTTTGCGATGAATAAATAAGTGTTCCGTCATTTTCTCATCTCAAAAAATTGGGAAAATTAGTTTCTCGTGCCTGTCGTAAGACTGCGACAATTTTGTTACCTTCTACGTGTCATGACGTCACACCACGTGTCATGACGTCACACCACGTGTCATGACGTCACACCACGTGTCATGACGTCACACCACTTAGTTTCTCGTGCCTGTCGTAAAACTGCGACAATTTTGTTACCTTCTACGTGTCATGACGTCACACCACGTGTCATGACGTCACACCACGTGTCATGACGTCACACCAATTAGTTTCTCGTGCCTGTCGTAAAACTGCGACAATTTTGTTACCTTCTACAGTGTGTGGTATCCTGGTGTTTAGCAACCCCTAAAAATGTACAGATAATAGATCAAAATACCATCGTACGTAATGCTGTGAGAATTCAATTTGGCTGTACATGTTTAGGAATAGTTTGACAGCTTTTATCTTTATTTATTATTATAAAACTTTATTCAAATAAATAAATTGTATAAACAAATTAAAAATCTGATAAGTAACCTACTAAAACTAAAATAACTTTCTCCACTTAGGTCTGTCTTGGGCTAACAAATTCAAATTATAAATATCTTCTGTATTTACAAGCTTTTATCTTTTAAGACACAAAATTAAATTATAGCAAAATTGAAAAATTGACTTTGAAAGCAACTTTCACAATCTTCATTGATGCACTTTAATTCATTAACCGATATCGGATTACATTTTAGTACCGCTGATCTGACATTATTTACATTGCTAATATCTGATTCATTTTTGTATTTAAACTTGTAAAACTTTAAACTGATAAAAACTAAACAGGTAGTGAAAACAGCGGACACATCTGCCGAGACACTTTCAGCCCTGACAGCATTCGGAAAGAAGCTGGGAAAAGTAACTGTGGAGTGCTCTGATACCCCCGGGTTTATTGTTAACCGATTGTTGGTGCCAAATTTGGCTGAGGCCATCAAAATGCTGGAAAGAGGTATGCATTTGGGGGAAATTTCAGAGAATTTTAAACATTTTATACTTCATATTCAAAGATTTCCTACCATTTTGAAGGAAGGGTTTGGTAGGAGGTTTGACACATATTACTGAAATATATTTTGGCGAAAACAAATAAAAATAATGAGAAATGATTGAACCCGTATCAATTTCAGGTGTTGCCTCCGCGCAAGATATTGACACAGCAATGAAGCTAGGTGCTGGTCACCCAATGGGTCCCCTCCAACTTGCTGACTATGTTGGACTCGACACATGTTGCTTTATCCTTGATGGGTGGAGCGAGAAATACCCTGATGTTGAGCTCTTCAAAACACCAGAGTCTCTCAAAAAGCTGGTTTCAGAGGGAAAGCTTGGTAATAAGACTGGCGAGGGTTTTTATAAGCATTAAAAGTTTTCGTTAAATAGATTGCAGACTCCTGGTTTAAGTTCTGTATTTATAAATTCGGGTTTTTTATGTAGAAGATAGATTTAGAATTTATAATTATATAAAAGAATGAAATCTAACCCGTGACCAGATATGATTCGATATTAATAATAATCTTTAACCCCTTAATTTAACTTCCTTTTGGGAATTATAGTTTCGATTGTATCAGATTTTGTTAATTTTTGGAATGATCATATAATTTATTGTTTATGCATGTATATTATGCTAAATATCATGAATGTAATTCGTTCTGGTAACTTTCCTGCATTCCATGTCATTGGCACAGTGTCGGTACACTAATATATTCACATGTTCGTATGCGGCGAAGACAAAGTTTCAATATCTATCGAAGATGCTTCGCGCGCATGCATGCGCGTTCTATGCCTGATTTGATAGATCGCTGGTCTCGTTTAAGTCTGAATTTTAGTCGATGAATTTGTGAATGTATTAAATTAACTAGCTCATATTCTGTGATTGCATAACTGAACCCGAAACAAATTTTAGATTTTAGATTCGCTTGATCGTATTCGTATCAACCCTGATCGATAACTGTTTGAATTACTAGCATGGCGGCGTCAAGATCAAGACGAGCCAACGCCGGCTGTCGGATGAAGGAGGTAATGGAAAAGAACGAAGCTGACCCTTTCTACTCTGGTTTGTACGGAGGATTCTATGACGAGGAAAACGACGCTGTAAGTTGATTAACCATTGTAATTCATTGAAATCTTAAATACATTTTCTACCTCAGAAACTGAAAATGAGTCCCGGCTACAGAAAGCCATTATTTATTTAGATTATATTACTGATACCGTAGTTACTAGTTAAATGTTTTCATGTTTAAAATACCCAGGATTACAAGTGCTCCTATAAGAACGGTAAAAAAGCGGGCGCAAAGAAAGACAAGTCAGATCAGAACTCAGGTGAGATCTCGTTTATAAAATTACTCGACATATTATACATTGTATTATACATATTATACATGACATAAATACACGTTATATATAATTCGTCTGAGGTCACTTTAGTAATTAACCCTTTTGTTTACCCATCTTGATCATCTGTTTTCTCACCATGTCCAATGTCATCTTGCACATCTTGGTGTGAGTTATCAGTTCTCTTCCTTTGTTCAATGTCCTCTTGATCTTGATCATCAGTCTTTTTCTCACCATGTCCAATGTCATCTTGCCCATCTTGGTATGAGTTATCAGTGTTCTCGCCTCGTTCAATGTGAACTTGCACATTTTGAACTGAGTTATCAGTGCTCTTCCTTTGTTCAATATCCTTTTGATCTTGATCATCAGTCTTTTTCTCACCATGTCCAATTTCATCTTGCACATCTTGGTGTGAGTTATCAGTGTTCTCGTCTCGTTCAATGTGAACTTGCACATTTTGAACTGAGTTATCAGTTCTCTTGCTTTGTTCAATATCCTCTTGATCTTGATCATCAGTCTTTTTCTCACCATGTTCAATGTCATCTTGCACATCTTGGTGTGAGTTATCAGTTTTCTTGCTTCGTTCAATGTGAACTTGCACATTTTGAACTGAGTTATCAGTGCTCTTCCTTTGTTCAATATCGTCTTGATCATCAGTCTTTTTATTACCATGTCCAATGTCATCTTGCCCATCTTGGTATGAGTTATCAGTGTTCTCGCCTCGTTCAATGTGAACTTGCACATTTTGAACTGAGTTATCAGTTCTCTTCCTTTGTTCAATATCCTTTTGATCTTGATCATCAGTCTTTTTCTTACCATGTCCAATGTCATCTTGCACATCTTGGTTTGAGTTATCAGTTTTCTTGCTTCGTTCAATGTGAACTTGCACATTTTGAACTGAGTTATCAGTGCTCTTCCTTTGTTCAATATCGTCTTGATCTTGATCATCAGTCTTTTTCTTACCATGTCCAATGTCATCTTGCACATCTTGAACTGTGCTATGGGTTTTCTCGCTTCCTTCAATGTGAACTTGCACATTTTGAACTGAGTTATCAGTTTTCTTGCTTTGTTCAATATCCTTTTGATCTTGATCATCAGTTTTTTTCTTACCATGTCCAATGTCATCTTGCACATCTTGAACTGAGTTATCAGTTTTCTTGCTTTGTTCAATATCCTTTTGATCTTGATCATCAGTTTTTTTCTTACCATGTCCAATGTCATCTTGCACATCTTGAACTGTGCTATGGGTTTTCTCGCTTCCTTCAATGTCATCTTGCACATCTTGAACTGTGCTATGGGTTTTCTCGCTTCCTTCAATGTCATCTTGCACATCTTGAACTGTGCTATGGGTTTTCTCGCTTCCTTCAATGTCATCTTGCACATCTTGAACTGTGCTATGGGTTTTCTCGCTTCCTTCAATGTCATCTTGCACATCTTGAACTGTGCTATGGGTTTTCTCGCTTCCTTCAATGTCATCTTGCACATCTTGGTGTGAGTTATCAGTTTTCTTGCTTCGTTCAATGTGAACTTGCACATTTTGAACTGAGTTATCAGTTTTCTTGCTTTGTTCAATATCCTTTTGATCTTGATCATCAGTTTTTTTCTTACCATGTCCAATGTCATCTTGCACATCTTGAACTGAGTTATCAGTTTTCTTGCTTTGTTCAATATCCTTTTGATCTTGATCATCAGTTTTTTTCTTACCATGTCCAATGTCATCTTGCACATCTTGAACTGTGCTATGGGTTTTCTCGCTTCCTTCAATGTCATCTTGCACATCTTGGTGTGAGTTATCAGTTTTCTTGCTTCGTTCAATGTGAACTTGCACATTTTGAACTGAGTTATCAGTGCTCTTCCTTTGTTCAATATCGTCTTGATCTTGATCATCAGTCTTTTTCTTACCATGTCCAATTTCATCTTGCACCTCTTGATCTGGGTTATCTGTTTTCTCGCCTCGTTCAATGTGAACTTGCACATTTTGATATGGGCTATCGGTTTTCTTACCTTGTTCAACGTTATCTCGCATATCTTGAACTGGATCTTGTTCGATGTCATTTTGAACTAGCACATTTTTAACTGTGCTATGGGTTTTCTCGCCTCGCTCAATGTAAACTTGCACATTTTGATATGGGCTATCGGTTTTCTTACCTTGTTCAACGTTATCTCGCATATCTTGAACTGGATCTTGTTCGATGTCATTTTGAACTAGCACATTTTTAACTGTGCTATGGGTTTTCTCGCCTCGCTCAATGTAAACTTGCACATTTTGATATGGGCTATCGGTTTTCTTACCTTGTTCAACGTTATCTCGCATATCTTGAACTGGATCTTGTTCGATGTCATTTTGAACTAGCACATTTTTAACTGTGCTATGGGTTTTCTCGCATCCTTCAATGTAAACTTGCACATTTTGATATGGGCTATCGGTTTTCTTACCTTGTTCAACGTTATCTCGCATATCTTGAACTGGATCTTGTTCGATGTCATTTTGAACTAGCACATTTTTAACTGTGCTATGGGTTTTCTCGCCTCGCTCAATGTAAACTTGCACATTTTGATATGGGCTATCGGTTTTCTTACTTTGTTCAACGTTATCTCGCATATCTTGAACTGGATCTTGTTCGATGTCATTTTGAACTAGCACATTTTTAACTGTGCTATGGGTTTTCTCGCATCCTTCAATGTGAACTTGCACATTTTGATATGGGCTATCGGTTTTCTTACCTTGTTCAACGTTATCTCGCATATCTTGAACTGGATCTTGTTCAATGTCATTTTGAACTGGCACATTTTTAACTGTGCTATGGGTTTTCTCGCTTCCTTCAATGTGAACTTGCACATTTTTAACTGTGCTATGGGTTTTCTCGCTTCCTTCAATGTGAACTTGCACATTTTGATATGGGCTATCGGTTTTCTTACCTTGTTCAACGTTATTTACCACATTCTGCACATTGTTTTCCGATTTCCTGGTGAGTGTTTTTACGTGTATCCCTGTGGTAGGGTGACCAATACCATCACCCGGATCAGCAGGCACTTCTTGAGCACACTTTGGTTTCAGAGTTGTTTCCAACCACTTAAACAGTGAACTTGCAGAATTCGCTACAAAATCGTTGTACAGTAAAGGGTTGATAACCGAGTTTATTGGTAGAAATATTATTGAAATCATTGGGTACCAGGGTGTGGCGTCGATAACTTCACTGGAATGAAGGCAGCATGCGATGACAATAGGTAACCAACAGAAGAAATCGGTCGCAATGATCAGTGATATTTTTTGTTGTAGTTTTCTGTTCTTGTTTCCGATTTTCTGGCTGGCTGCATTAGCTGTAATGTTGATGTATATGTAAGATATTGAGATGATAATAAAACAGAGCATGTTCATCGCCAGGATTGTCCAAGTATAAAATCTTTGTGGGTCATTAGGTTTAACAAAAAACTTGAAGAGGCAAACACCATCATTTCCATAAAACTCGAGTTTCTTTCGGCCGAGAACGTCACCTCCATAATCATTGGAAAACATTCCATCAACTAGATCGTTTATAATTCTCCAGCTGAGAGTCCCAGATTTTATTTTCCCGTAGTATTCTTGTAGTATACCAAGATGAGCATCTTTCCCTGGTGCCCCTATGAACAATCTTACTGAAGGTTTATACGTCATACCATTCACAAAGAAATCATCAAAATAATGGACCAAAGGGACCACTGCTACGGTCACTGATATCAATAAAATCGCTGCCATCACCGAAACTATCTTTAGAATTGCTTTATTTTTAACTTTCCTCCTCGACGTGTTTTTCTTGTTGACCCCAGCTACTCGTACTGTACTGAGAAAAGTCATGGAAAGTAATGACATCTGGCTTCCAATCGTGCTGATAACGCCGATAGCTGAGCAACCAAAGCTTGACAGCCAAACGAGCTGGTTGGAGCAGTAATTTTCCCCGTACACAATAGTGTCGTTGACAGCCAACCACAGCAAATGTACACCCATTAGGAAGTCTCCAACGGAGATCAGAAACACCAAGAGCCTGTTTCTCATAACCGTAGTGTTCTTATCTTCGGCGGCAAACCAAGTTCGACAAATGGTCATGAGATTAAAAAGGACCGCTAAAATCCCCAACAACCAGCACATGAACTTGAGGAAGGTTTGTTGAACAATATTTTTACCGCAGTCTGAGTTACATTCATCCGAGAAGTCCAGGCAGTCCACAGTTCCATCACATTTCTCAGTTACTGGAATGAACCGCTCTTTTGAGTGACAGCGAAACACATTGGTACAGGTCTCTTCGTCAGAACCATCTCCACAGTCGTCCACGACGTTGCAAACTTTGTCTTGGGTTATACAAAGGCTGTTGCGACATACAAAGAGATCGTTGGTGTAACCGTGTCTTGTTTTCGTGACGAATGTGAGAAATGAGTTTTGTGCCACTGTGTAGACCCGGTTTGGGTATTGCTGAGGGCAAGCGTCGAATCGATAAATTTCCTTTAATGGACAAGTAGAATTTTCACAACGGCCTGAACAGCTCAAAATTAAATAGAGTTCCCCAAATGTGTAGTCACAGTTAAACATTTTATTCGGATAAACGACTGTGATATCTAAATTTACTCCAAAAACGTCCTGTTTTGTTAAATTCACTTCCTTCCTCACGCACGTTTCGGAAAGTTTCTGTATGTCTGTGAGTCCTTGCAAGCAGTACATTAGGCGCTTTTCACTTTTTCCAAATTTGACTGTGGTTAAAACTTTGTCAAAGGTAGGAGTCATCTCATGAGATTTTTGACAAGCTCTCTTTTCTCGACCACAAGCATCTTTGCCATCACAAAGGTCCTGAAACTCAACATATCTAGTCTCTTGTCCCAGTTTACAAAGGAAAACCTCGTCGCAAACAGGATTTGTTTTGGTAATGAATCGTTTTGTTGGCCCAAAACCGCAAACTGGCCAGCTATCATCCTCATCAATACCATTCACACAATCTTTCACACCATCTTGAAGCCAT